CATTTGGTGATCGGTTGTATACCATTTAGCGCGTCACGTGATGTCAGCTGTCTGGTCTGACATAAGTAGCGTGGCGGGTGTTCCTTGACTCTGGTGTCACCTCAGCCTATCATTCTGCCTTGATTCTCCGCCTCTGATAAGAGCGCTAGACAAGGGTCTGTAACACTACCCAATAGAATCAATCTATCTACATTGGCCTGAGCCGTTACAGATATCGCATATATGGATTTGAAAGGGATTTACTAGTGCGGTTTTATGATCACATGACTGGATTTACCTTCCTATTATAGTATAGCGTCTTGTCCAAATAACTAGCGTCTCGTCCAAATAACAATTCCCTATATTTATTTAATAATGTAATAAATTCTACTCTATAACGTAATCGGTACACGAGCGGGCCACACACTCGAGTGGGCCAACACGCCGCCATATTGAAAATTAAATCAGGCAAAAAATCATCAATTTTGATTCCTACATAAAAATGAGTAGTTTCATCGATTCGGGCAGTGCGTAATTCTATGGCCCTGTACACCACAGCCAGAACATTTAGATGGGGCGCGCCCAAGCCGATTCAGTAGGCAGAGCCCTATCTGCCTGTACGGCTTCATCTGCCTGATTTCGGCGCTCTATAAGGATTCGGGCTTCAGATACTGACGTGCCTTCTTTAAAAGTAATCTATTTAGTAGAGCACTTTCGCTTTTTAGTCTGCCTTTTATTTTCAGCCTGACTTTGCTTAAGTTGATGCTTCAATATTGTTGTGTTTGGGAAAGCTTTTTCAGCGCCTTTTATTATTTGATTTAGGCGAGCTTTAATAGGCGAATCAGGACTGCATTACTGATTTTTAAGCAGTTTTTTAAAGCTAGATTCTGACTTCTCCAGCTGCTTGACTGTATGAGGTGTTTTAGGCGCTGAGCTGCCCCAGCTGCTGGGTCTACTACCCGGAGGTGTGGGGTCTTAAGCTGAACTGTCAGCTGAGATAGAACGCGCTCAGGAGACAGAGGAACTAGGCCAGTAGCTCTGAAAGCACTATAGATATTGCTGATAGTAAGAGACCTCTCTGTATGGGCCTCGGGATATGCGTTCAGGAAATTAATCTTATCAATATGATTAAGTCCGCAGCGTATCTTAGATTAAACTAGGTCCCCGTACGCGCGTTTTAAAGGCGAGAAGACAGTAATATCAAGCGGTTGAAGCTTATAAGAAGCGTGTACAGGCATATAGATTGGTATAATATTATTTTCTGCGCAGACCTGGTTAAATTGAGATGTTAGATAACTATCATGGCTATCTAAAATAAGTAAATGGTATTGTCCTATAGATCGGCCGGTAGTAAGAGATATAAAATGATTCTGCAACCAATATAGGCTAATATCATTGTTTATCCAGTCATTAGGACTAATCTCAATCCTTCAATTAAAAGGAACCTTATTATTCTTGTACCAGGCCTCCATGTGCATCTTGTGCTTGAAAATAATACAGGGAGGTAACCCATCCATTAGAATATATACATTCTATGGCAGTAACCCATTCCCGGTTCCCTGCCTGCAATAAAAATGGCTTGCCTGGTATATCAGACCTAGTAATAACTTTAGCTGCAGCTATTAGGCCCATTGCAAATCCCGTTTCATTAAAATTGCAGATATCGCTTGAAGCTATACCGTATTTCTGAATAGCCTCATTTACCTGCTTAAACCAAGCTCCTAGAATCTTAGGATCTTTTACTTTAGCACATTGATAGTTATAGCAACATGCAAAGCAGGCTTTAAGCTCAGGTGTACGCCTTGTAAAGTTGTACACCCATTTCTTCCCTACTACTGTAGGGGAGAAGTAGTATCGTGCTTTGACAGAAGGATATTGGCCATTTCTTGTACATGTGCAGGCCGGGGAGGCATTCCACGTTTATCTAGTGATATAATCCATTCTTTAAGCGATTTCTCTTCACTAGTAGTTAATTTATGACCATTTGCGCGTGTATCTGATCGAAATGTATGCCCTGATAGGCGCCTTTGAAGTATTGTACGAGGTATATTAAAAACACGAGCTCCTCATGAATATTGGTAAATTCTTTGCTCTTAATAGCTGACATCGCTAATAAGACCCTACCTTCCTGTTCCACCTGAGATCTTGATGATTTAGGCATTTTTGGTGGTATGGCTGGTGGTTGAATAGCTTCAAAAAAACAAACGCGTAGAAAACCGGCGCGTTGGCCCACTCGAGTGCGTGGCCCGCCCGTTTACCGATAAAAATCATTCCGAGAGGCTGTCACATAAGTACATAAGCCAGAATAATTATATTTATTAAGGGTTACAAGCCTTCTGCTTTGTACTGCACGCACATATACATAGCTTATTCATGATTCAGCAGGCAGGTAGGTGGCCCGCAAACAAACACATCCGTGATACAAACTAGTTAAATTTTAAAATTCAGGACAGTGTAGGGAGTCGGTAAGGTAATGAAAGGTAGAGGTCACGCAAAGTGGGTCAAATAGATGTGAAATCACATGACCCCCAAAGTAGTTTAAGCTATTTGCGTGAGGTCCGCCCTACTTGCAACTGACCTTGTGTCCTGGCTAACTGTCCTGTTAAGTTAGTTAATTGACTAATTGGTACACATTCACTCCCCCTCTACCTCCATGTCACCTTTCTCTGTCCACTACTGTCACGAACTCTTGCATCAATATTTTGTCTCTCTTCTAGTATATCATCAATGCAGACACAAAACTTGAGTCCACTGGACAGTTCCGATCCGTCCCAGAGCTCAAATTCTCGGTGGCTCATCCTTACGCACCGCGCCCCTTCCTCTCACTCATCCTTCATATATGGCGTTAAGTCCACAAAGATCTACTGTCGGCCCACCTGCCCTGCACGTCTTGCTCGAAGAGCCAACGTCGAATTCTTCGACACTGCTGATCAAGCACGACGCGCAGGATTCCGTCCCTGCAAGCGTTGTAAACCGGACAGCGCGAGCTTCGTCGGAGAAAGGGAGGATATTGTCGCGAGGGTCATAGCGCTTCTGCGGATCAGAAAGGCCGATCCGGAGATGAAACTCAAACTGAAGGATCTGGCGCAAGAGGCTGGGGTGACGCCGAGCTATCTGTGCCGCATCTTCAAGAAGACAATGGGCGTCACAATAGGGACGTACATGACGGAGTTTGAGAAGGATGCAAGCGACGCAGAGACAGAGGTTCCAGTAGCTCCGGTTGGGTCAGATGGGATGGACGCAGGAACAGAGCTATCAATGCGAGCAACAACAGGAGGAAGAACACTTTTACCTCCCGTGGAATGTTCATGGGAAGTCCCAGCAGAGGATGTATATGATGTCGATCAAATCCCGAGCTTTGATCTTGACGAATGGTTTTCATCTGAAGCCTTTTTGAATCAGAACTTCTTAGATGACGGCGCTCAGGAATGGGGGCTCTTTGATTTGGTCCAGAGTAGTCATTAGCAGACAGCAGCATAGCGACAATAATGTTACGACCAATAACTAATGATACCTAGATTACGGAGCTCCGACATGAAGTGCTCAGTGTGATTTCAGGCAGAGGATCGAATTTTAAGGTTGAGGAATTGCTATATTAGAGTAGCACGCGAGAAAAAGCCACGGAGCTTGTCTTGCAGCCACCAATGCCGGTATAATAAGCCAAACGCCTCACGAAACATTGTAGAGGTGCTCTTTGACAAACGTAGACTCAACTGTTTATGCTTATGCTGTTGGAACTAAGTATCTTTCACCTTAGCCCTTGATACATGAAACATGGTTCACTATTTCTAGCATGTCTTTCTAAAGCACCTACAAGTTGTGCCCTGGATATGAATGGGTGAGCTCCGCGACGTTCGGTTACACCTTCAAAGACACCGGCTGTAGCGGGTTTGTATAGTAGTGTAAGGAGCCGGATAATACTAATCTGCGCCGCTCTTCGCCAAAGCGACCATTGAATTGACTAAGATAAACATCGGACAAATCAACTTATCAACTTTGCTGAGCAAACTCAAGCAGAAGGCATACTTATCTGGCCTTACTTTCTTTTCTTTGGCCTTGAACCTCTCCATACCTACGATGAACAGTGTAGCATAGGGCAAAGCAGTACCTGCTTAATGACTTCGTGAAAACAGCGAAACGCCTATCGTCAAATGTAGAATATTCAAAATTAGTCTACTTCTATAGAGACTCGGAGTCCGAGTCCATTGCTATCAGGTGTCTATGATAAATATATCTTAAGCAGCCAATATAGATTGTATCAAATCGCAAGCCTTCCTTTTTCAGCGCGGGTGGTCTTCTTCAGGATCACCAACATTGCTTTGTCGCCATGCCCCTTCACGTAGTCTATCAGCTCCTGAAAAACCACATCCACCTGACCTTCAGCTGCCAATGCTTCAACTTCGGCTTGGAAGCCTCCTGGTACCCAGACCTCCTGAAGAATAGTTGCAGCCACGATGCCATTTGTCCTGGTGATGCGGACGAATTCTCTCAAAGCAGGGTGAGAACCAACATGGCCAAGGGTGAATGTGCCCACGCAGACAACTATGTTATACGCTTCATCCGTCACATTGATCCGACACGTAAGATCCCCGTGGATAAGTTTGCGATATACGCCAGTCTTCTTGGCCATGGTGAGCATGGCAGGAGAGAAGTCAAGCCCATCGATGGCTGTGGCGCCGGCCGTCACAAGAGCCTGTCCCACAAGACCGGTTCCGCAACCGGCATCCAGTATCACACCTTTGGTCGAGTTCTTCGAGAATCGGAGAACCGCCTGGGCCACAAGCTCTGGGGCGACATAATCTTGAGCTTCGTCCCCAACCTCGTCGTTGTAGGTGGCGGCCCATTTGTCGTAAATTTCCATGCATTCATATACGCTGACAGAGTCACGGGCTTCGCGTAGGTATGACTTGCACAATTGAACCTGAGTCGTCGACATTTTCGAGAATTTTGAGTATAGTTTAGGAGGAAATCCTGCAGCAGTCTTTTGAAAATTGGGAGATTGAAAATCAGAAATACTTGACGGTACCCAGTGTGTTTGGTATAATTGAGTAGGCTGTGATGGGGCTTGTTGATTCCATTTGGTTGGGGTACATGAATCGTATTTATAGTGCTCGAAGAAATTCCCAGGTCGAATTCACCCCCCACATACGCTGTCAATATAGCTCTGGGCCCGTGATTCTATGCTGATTCGGATGAAGCTTGCTGAGTACAATCTAACCGAACCCTGACAACTAACCTCTACTCCGGTTGACCCCGGTAAGAATGTTAGTACAGGGGGCCCTACAACGATTTGAATCCTTTTGGATTCTGGCAGTATATTGAACTTGGCGGTGCGTAAATTCAAGCCGAGAGCAGATCTGTTGATAGGTAAATCCAGCATCTCGTAGAGTTAAAATACGAATTCGATCATTGCGGCTAAGCCATCGGGATTTCTGGCTTTCTTGAGAAGCCTCTGGAGGCACCTCTGGAGGGGTGCTAGGCTCAGATGTAGCCATATTAGAAGCGGCATACTACTACGAATCTCACGAGGGTGGCAAAATCGGAGGTCTCTCTGGCTTCAAAACTAGGTTATTTTAGTAAGGCGGTGCTTTGAAGACCTCACCGTCCAAAGGATTCGAATACTTGTAGGTGGACCGGTACTAACATTCTTACTAGGTCAACCGGAGTAGGCTCTGAAACCGTATGACTGCACAAAAGTACGGACTGCACAAAAGTGGGGAAAGTTACGGGTGTGCACAGCAACATTACATTTTAGCGGGAAAAGATAGTGTATCTTGGCCGGCTGTCCCGGCCGCCCTTTTATCAGCTGAGCTGTCATAAGGGCAAGAGATATAGGTGGATTATCAAAGTTGACCTCCTATAACTATAAGCCTCACCAGTCCATGATCCCGTGGCTGCTGTAAAGTGCGCCTGTGTCCAAATGTTTGCACAGATATGTGTTCACTGTTTATCAGAGCCTACACATCCATGCTTATATTATGTGATCTATTCGCACTTCACGGAGTAATCCCACTTGCGTTCGCCCACTCTGCATATGACCCAGAAAGGGAAAAGGGTTTCATACCCTGGCTTCTTACCCCCACGCTTGTTCGTCTTCTTGTTAGATAGCGCTAGCTAGTTGAGTATCATTGCTCCTCGCCAGCTTTCACATCACGGAATTCCGGCAGCCGAGGCTTTTTCTCAATATAAGTGGGATAGGATGGGATGGGTATGTGTAAAAATGTGATATAATATCATTTAATGTTGGCATGGGATTCCGGCTGACCGTCCTGATAGGCCTGGCCATTAGGTTGATCCGGCCGGCTAGTGAGCCCATCCTCCAACACACGATTTCATTGTCGGTAGGTTAGATAGTGATATGCAATAATGAGAAATCGTTGTTGAAATGAGCTCCATATAAAGCCTCGAGATTTAATATACTACGGCATGATGCCCTCGGAGATCTTCAGGGTGTATATAATAGATCATGGCAGTGACGAATCCTTATCCTGACATGGGAACGTACTCAGTAAATTTACAGCATGTCTAGATTGCGCTCCGGTGCGGGGAACTCCTCTCCATCCAGAATGAGCTTCACCTTGCTAATTTAAACCACTATAGCATGACGTACAAACTGAGGCAGATCAACAGCCAAGGAGACAGGTACGGGAATCTCACCGGCATATCAAAGCTCTGCTTGTGGGTGGTACTTATGTCAATACGAGCTCTAGTTTGGCAGACCGAGATTCCTAATGATAAACACAACGCTGGATCTTGGCATATGTGATGACAGTTCCTTGTCAGTCCAAAAATAGGGAGTGATGCATCTATGAACCGATACTGGCAAATGAGGGCGGACTTGTGTGTCGAACTAGCAGTCAAGGCAATATGCACTACTGCACTTGATGAGAGTTGATAAGACTACCTAGGTTGCTATTCTACGCATCTGCCTATTGTACTCTATATGACCAATGAGCAATTAGCCCACTGGCTTCTCATTACGTGGCAAAGAAAACAGGGTGAAAAGCGTATGAGAGATAAACCTGTTGAGTTATTGAATATTACCAGCGCCTCGAACTGCAAATCACATGCACCCTGTCTAGTCCTCAACTATAAATTCTCCCCCGGACCACATTGTCAACCGAAACTGTTTTAGGGATATCAATGACATGCTGCACATATTGCGCTCTGAGTCCGGATTAAAACAAGCTTACCCACTCGGTTCTTTGTAATCTCAGACCCTAGCCTTATCACATTACTCCAAATATGGCTGTCTCAAGCTTGGACTACCGTCAATTTACTTCGGGGAGCAAAGCGGGGCGTGAAGAGTTCGCTCATACATTGCTCAACAGCTTTGAAAGAACTGGGTTTGCCAAGCTCCACGGCCATACATTCAGTGAACAAGAAGTGAAAGAATTGTTTATATGGGTAAGATGCACTTTAAAGTCCCTCTCATTGTTCGAGCGGTGTTGACTTGTATTATATTTACCAGAGCCACAAATTCTTCAACCAGCCCATGGAAGCGAAGAACAAGATTCCGAACGAACCAGGACCAAGGCCTATGCGTGGTTACACTCCATGGAGAGTCGAGGAAGTTGGAAAGCTTCACTATGATGAGAAAATCCGGAACATGACGGACTCGAAGGTGAGTTTTTGTTTTGTGTGATATATTTTTTTGACGTCGTCACAGCTTGACTGATTGACACCAATCCAGGAGCATTTTGACCAAGGACCTGAATATGACACGGAATTTCCCAACAAATGGCCCGAGGACCCCGAGTTATCCGGCTTTCGGCCCTTTATGGAAGCCTTTTACCGCAAATGCGATGAGATCTGTTTAAAGCTTATGGAGGCCCTGGAGGTCGCCTGGGGCATTGAGGATGGGTCGCTGGTCGCGCGCTGCATTCCCAGTGCCACCGATCTTCGACTGACGCACTATCCCGCAATCACTGTCGAGGAGATGCAATCGGGCCGCACCAGCCGCATCGCGCCACACACCGATTTCGGTCCCATCACGTTGCTGTTTCAAGATAGCACCGGAGGGTTGGAGATTGAGGACCGAAGTAATCCGGAACCTAACTCCTTTGCTCCCATGCCACCGACGGAGATATCAGAAATGATTATCAATGTTGGCGACACACTGACGCGTTGGACGAACGGAAATATCACCGGCGGGATCCACCGGGTCACTACTCCGGAGGCGATGAAGCATGAGAACGGCGTGACTATACCATCTCGAATGTCTATGGCCTATCTGTTTAAGGCGGACCGCAATGTCTCCGTTGGCCCATTGCCCAAATTTGTTTCACGTACGGAACCGGCCCGTTACCCGGACATCACCGCCCTTGAGTTCCAAAAATGGAGGAACAGCATAGTGTACAGTCTCGACAAGAAGCAATATCCGAATGGGGTTGAAGGCTTGACTGCCTTCGCTGAAGGCTACGCCTGACGAAGAAGATAATAATGTGACAAATTCTCGAAAAATATGATCAGCAAGATTCTGGAGGATCCAGTATGAGAAGGCATACTTTGTCATTGGGTACCATATAGCTCAAACTCATGAATCAGTTATAAATCCATAGTTGTAGTTGTATATTGAAGCGATAGTTGAGTTTACTGGCTCGTCGTATGCTTTTCCTATTATAAGGATGCTCTATATTATTTTCGAATCAAAAGTCATTCAATTTATGCTCAACACCGGCATCCGCGATACACATTCCAGATATCACCCACCTGCTTAGAAGTCCCTCGAACTTTTGATTGACTCAGCATAGAGAGTTACACTGTTCTTGATAAAGAATGGGGGCGGTCCTGAAGCAGTGGTGCGCGTATAATAGCCTGCATGAAGTTGCGTAAACTCCATCAATGGCTGTGAAACTGATTGGTAGAGCCTACAAGAGCATATAATTTCAGGCTGGGAGGGCTAGAGGATCAAGGAAAGTATGTCTATAAAACGCCACGCAAGTTGGGAGTTTTCTCTATTACAGCCTGAACTCTACATAAAAATGCGAGAAAGCAGCACGGTCATGAGTCCGCTCTAGCTCCGTCCTTGGCAACTTTTTGACTCAAAAACTGATTAGAGTACATTGCTGTATATTCGTTTCGCAAATCGACAAAGGTATTATTCCATGCTTCTTGTAAAAATCCCTCTAAGCTGATCCATGATCCTACCACTTTGTCCTCCAATTCCATCCCTTGATTTTGACCCTGACCCATACAAAACATAGGAAAGCGACCACATAGTTCAGCCCGGCGAACAGCGCGGTGCCCCAGTATCTTCCTTTCCCTGTAGTCGTCACTGCACTCAGAAGGCATCCGCCAATCGGAAGACTTGCTAGCACCCCAAAAGCTACCACTGTGAAACAGCTCGCGTAATATCGCCCGTATTCCTGCGTATCACAAAGTTGACCCAGGCATATAGGTGTCAAGCTAACATTTGAACCACTGAAGAACCCGAATAGGATAACAAAGATTATGAGCAGGGCATCCTTCTCGAGGCTTCGTACGACGATATCTGGTAGCCAGAAGCATAGAACTGACACCATGCAAAAGAACAACGAGACAATCATAGTATTGTACCGGCCAAACCGATCAGCCAGATCACCCGCTACATACCGGCCCCCGCAGGAAGCAGCGTTCAGAATAGCGAGAAGCTGATATGCGAAAGCTGCCGATCCTGTTAGCGCATCCTTCTGGGACAGATGCTGTCGATCAATGTAGTAGCTCGGTATGTATGTGATGGGGATGAAGTAAGCCAAATCAGTGAACAGTACACCAGCAGTTGTGATGGCCATAGCCCCTGTTCCATCTAGGAATATTGTAGGGTCTGGTAATGTATCTCGCCAGGTGGTCTCTGTTCCTTTGCGAGGTGGCACTCGGCTCCGGCAGAAAGCCAAGCTGATGGCACAAAGTACAAGTAGAATAAAGGCGAGAATGCGAATCGACCATCCCCAGCCAACTTGAGGAAGGAGAGATTGTAGCATCAGAGGGAAAATAACACCACCGAAACCGCTCCCTATAAATGCGATCCCACTGGCAAGACCGCGACGCTTCATGAACCAATGGGCGACGCAGGCCATTGACGGTGTAAGGAGAAGGGAGGAACCGATGCCTGTCAAGATGGAGAATGCGAGAAAAAACTGGTAGTATTCTGTTGGCTGGTTAGCAAAGGTGCAAGATCTTGTTGAAATATATGACGGTCCGTTTTGTCATACTTCAAGGGGATATATGATGCTTAGAGGCTAGTGATTGATGATCTTACCTTTACAGACACTGAACGAAAATATACCGATAAGCGTGCAAACAGTGCCGGCAAGAATAAGTGTACGCGGGCCCATTGCGTCGAAAGTTGGACCAATTTGCACTCCACAGATCCAGTTAACGAACGCATAGACTGAGAATATCCAGCCGGTTGTGGACGAGGACACATTCGGTAAGATGTCTTTTGAGACAACAGCTTCAAAAACGCCCACTGTGTTGTACAGGCCTAGTGATGCTGTTAAGCCGCAGAATGCACCAAATACCACCAGCCATGCATCGCGACCACCCTCAGGATAAACGATAGGATCATCAACAGGTGTCGAATCCGTCGTTGTTGAATGATGTCGCAATCCCCTGCCGGCATTGGAGGAAGGTGTGAAAGTCTCAAGGTGAGTAAGTTTCTCATTGCCGCTGATGGAGGACTCGGTTACGTTCATCGTAGAAGGACCGTGCTCGAAACTCGTCATTAATCTATAGAGCTTCTGTACCAGAAGTCGTGCAAAGATCCACAGTAGTAGATAGAAAAGTAAAGAGTGGAGGCTTTTCCTGATACTGGAAACAATAGACTTGTATAATGCTCTTCCGCTGGTAATATATAAGGAAGGAATAAAAAAAGTAGACGGTACAGAGCAGGTTTATAGAAATCATGGTAGCAGATGATAAAATATTCAGAGTCGATCTATGAACTCAATGTGGCCAATCAACAACAAGCTTGGAATCGACAGTTCTCATTCCATCGCAGCCAATCATTTGTGTAGTGTTGAATGACTAATTACCAGCCTCAGGTTAACTAACTACCTACTATCCGTGAACCTTATTACCCACTTTGCTTACGTGCTATACTAGCTATTGGATGCTGTCCCACTTTTTTTCTTGATTGCTAGGCTTCGTCCCAATTTGGACTTCGCCAAATAAACAGGTGTCGAAACAGATGCATCTACTTCTCTTATAAAGCAGAACTTGACACATTATGGTCTTTAAAATATAAACACACGTTGTTATTAAAAAACAGTGTTTCAGGGAACATGAGGCATATCTATGTCAGTTATGGATAAGTCGCTAATCAATTTCCGCTGGTAATTTAAAAGGAAGAAATAAGAAAATTAGACAGTACAGAGTAGGTTTATAGAGATCATGGTAGCAGATGATAAAATATTCAGAGTTGATCTATGAACTCAATATGGCCAATCAACAGCAAGCTTGGAATCGACAGTTCTCATCTTCATTACAGCCAATCATTTGTGCAGTGTTGAATGACTAATACCAGCGTCAGGTCAACCAACCACCTATCCGAAGCCGAAACAAGTCACGTGGCGGGAATCGGCTGTTGGAGTATGGTGTGCAGGAGCAATCCTGGACCGGTTCCGGAGCAAATCCATGATCACAGTTTAGCTACCTGCTAAGCTGACTATACTTCAAACGGCAGGTTAGCTAAAACTTATAGAGCCAAGCCCACCCCTTCAATAGAATATCAAAGCCTCTGAATTTATCAGATCCACTTCATGAGAGTAAACAACATGTATCACTGCCATTGAGAGTTTAAGCTAATACAAAATCTCTCTTACTAAATGGCTTCTAGCCTTAAATTAAGTAATTACTGGGATTTATTTTCATACAATGATATGAAAATATTGTCTATACGGTAAAAGACGACAAATTTGATCACCTTAAGCTATAAACTTAAGGACTCTGCCGCTTTGGGGGGGGGGTCATGCTACATAATATAATGATTTTATACATATAGATCACTGTTCTGGAAGTGGAATCACCAGCAATGTAAATCATTTTGAACTAACCCTCATAATATAAGGAATATGTATGATCACCTATCCCTAGATTCTATTTTAGCATGTGGTACTTAGTTCTCAGGTCTTTCTGTTATCAGGCTAATCTAGAGTCAAACATCGCCTATGATATGGCATGGAGTTGCCAGTGCTCGAACATTGATTGACCCTTGCTGCAATGGGATTCACAAAGCATGAGAGTCTTGTGTACTGCAAAGATTTTGAAGACATCTGTCAGACTTTAAGAGCAATACCACTGTTCGGACACAAAAAGGTGCCATGACATCTGATTGTACCTTCAGGTAGATATAGCATGTCCAGTTGCCCCTAGGGAGGCCGCAGATCATGTTGCTGCGTGATCCGCCGAGTGACATTAAATAGTAGCCAAGCCAAGCCAAGTCAAGCCCCTAAAGGTTTTACCTATTAGTAGTTAATCAAGAAGAAGTGCTTAAGACAGTTGATATAGTTATCGATAGAATTGAGTATCTATCGGAACGGCATCCGGTCCTCAGTAGGCTATGTAAGTGTAGCTGATACAGTATCATTCTGCCAATCTTTCCCATGAGATCACAACAAAAACCAATTGTTGATGGCCTGATGTTCCTTATCGGCGGCCGATTGTCCATGCACCTGGGTCAGGGTATTCTGTACGGCCATCAGGCCGAATCGATATTCAATCTGTGACATGGGGCCGGTACCTCCGGCCCTCTAAATGTTTCTGCCGAGGTCTATATATCAGTAACAAGATGAGACAGGATACATAAGGACGTTCATTTATATATTTAGCTTAGTTCTTCGTGATCAATCCTCATAAATTACTTAGTCATACATTCAATATTGTTACCTTTAGTAGCAAGACCAGTCTCAAAACATCAGAAAAGCGAAACTGACATAAAATTGAGACAATAGAAAAACACTGAAGCGGATTAGTAATATTTGAACGATCAAAAAAAGAGTATTTCTGTACAAAAAAAACTAACGTCTTTTGCGCTGGAGTGTTGAAACACCTCGAACTCAATTCTATGGTCAACATTACTGTTGATATTTTCTGGTAGAACCAGTAGAGCCCACAAAGCGGGGCTCAAGCAACAGAAGAAAGGAAAAACAAACTAGAGAGGAGGAACGGCAGGCTTGCAAAGCTGGACATCTGTCTCTGCATTTGAGCTGACATTATTCTTTTAGGGGAGTTCATTTTCAACGGAAATTGAGTGTTGATTATGGGAACTAAAAAAGGCAGTTGGACTCGAATCGAGTGGAAGGGAATCTACTCTGTATAGAAATAGATTCAATTATTCTCTGATAATACCCGTCGGGTTTTCATGGTATGAGTCACCCAGATACTACCATATCCCTTGCAGCTACAGACGAAGCCATCACCCAATCCGTGACGCGGACCTCCCAACAATCTATCTCCTTAGAAGAACCGGAAACACCTCAAACATTTCCACCCACGAGACACCCATAATCTCTTCCAAGAGCGTCAGTTCTTTGTAGCCAATATCCCTAGATGAAAGGTTGAATTTCACAGGTATTCGCCAGCTGACCAAAGGAAGAAAAGACAGACTGTTATAGAACGTTGTCCAAAGATTAGTTCTAACCTATACTGATGACGAATCAACAGGCAGCCATACATACCTAGCTATCTATTTATGTTTCAAGACAGCATAGCTGTGCATGCCATCAAGATTGAGGCAACTAGGAGAAGCTCCGGCGCCCGGAGTATAATATTCTCCATTACAGTTGTTCCCTTTCCAGACAACAATTCCATATGGTTCACCCTGTGGATCATAGTCGGCAGACCACCAATCGTGCTCGAGCTTCTCGCAGCCAAGTGGTCTGCCCTCGTCTGCTACTGAACTAGGGTGCCAGCCACGACATTCGTAGCTAGAATAGAACCGGACGAACCAAGCGTTGGCAAGGGGAGCAGAAGCGAGAAGAATAATACTTAGAGAAGAATGAAGCTTCATGGTGGTTTAACATACAATGAACTAAGGTCTGGATGTAAAAACGATGAATTTGGGAGTAGAAGTAGAGGCCTCTTCGGGGAAGATTACGATCACTTTATATTTTGCGGCTGGACTGCATCTTCCAACTCTTGTACATCCATTGGACAGATAGAAAGTGTTGGATGAGTATCTCTGTGAGGCAGTGTACCGTGTAATATTAGTGGGTCCTCTTTCTTATCATTGGCTGTGTCGTGTACCCGAATGCAGGATTATAGTAGAGTAATGAATAATAAGATTAGTTTCTAATATTGAGATATGTTTGTTAATGTTATTCGGACCTCAACATAGAGCTTCCTCTAAGCATTACTGTTCAAAATTAAAACAGGACGAGTTCTTATCCCCCACGAGGAAAATGTTGACCTCAAGTTATCTGCAACCATGGCCAGTCCCACGCAGAACGGTCACCTGACAAAGGCAGGATCCATTGCTTCCTACAAACAGTCAAAATCACTAGTTAGAGTGGCATAAATCTAGTCTAAGTCGCCTAGCTAACTATAGTGGAACATGTTCCTTGCTTCACCCGACCCAAACCCATCTCAAATCTGTTTGGGCTACGGAGTGTGGCAGTGTGATGCAACTCTACAACACTTTGTGAATATTTCTAAACTTCGATTGGTTTGCGATCGGGAACTCTATACTTACAGATACCTAACAGCTTCTTATAGACGCTCAGAGCCGCTGGATACCTATAAGAAAAGTGGGTCATATACTTTCGGATCCCAGCTGTAAGCTCTGATTAGGCCAGCATCGTTCTACTAGGGTTGCTGGGCGCTTCTGAGCTAGAAGTAGTATGCTATTTCCCTAAAGAGCAATTTTCAATGTTACTCAGTGAGTTATTTGTTTCGCCATGCCCCTGTTCTACCCTCTTCTCAAAACCACTACCCAAACGTTAATTGAAGACCAAGCCAGCCCAGTTCCACCTGACCAGTGGATGCATGGGGTGGGGCGATTCATTAGGGACTGTGTCCTGTCTTCCAAGCAGCCAACCTAGCCTTCATTGAAGACCATCAGTCAGTGTTGAAGGATTGTATCAATGTGGCCCACTAATGATTGCCTGCTATCACCGCTCCTCTCCCCCTCTGGGGCTCATACAGATCGGGTTTAGGTATTGAAATGCTTTGTTGTCGAAGATCATTCTCTGTTACAGTAGGTTGAGAAATGTGAGTAAAGTTTACACCCTGCGTCAAGCCAGAGTGGTGAGCGGATTTGAGTAGGGGTCTAAAATTAGATTAAACTCTCCTTCCCTAAGGTGGAACGCAATCGTGCGCTTTCCTAGTAACTCCATCTAATTAATACCACGTGCCAGGCGTTCGACGTGTAAAAAGCGGTTGTAACCTTAGTAGCAGTGAAGTTAGCCTTAGATCCAATAAAATTTACCTATAGCGAGTGATCCACTCAGTATTACCAAGACCGGTACAGTCTAATGGTCTGCCCTATAAGCCTCATAAGTGGGGCATTGCCAATTCATGAAGCCCATTGATCATTATGGGATCAAAAAGAGAGTCAGATATAATAGTGGTGCGACGGAGATGTCCGAATAGATTATTTATAGGAGCCTCATTTCAGCTTGCTATCTTATGTCAGACTTGGCGTATGCTTTAGACATCTCAGCCGTTTGTGGGTGAGTTTGTGGTCTTCCCTGAGACTCCTCGAGATATAGCCAAACTGAAAATGGCTGTAACTGGTATAAGGCCCTATAGGACAATGTCAGATTGTATGTATCCCATGGGCCCGGACTCCACTGCACAAGGTTGTCCTGGCCATCATCAATTGCTATATAACGACCGGTCAATTCCAGCAAGAATGAAATCTAGCAAGTTTGAATCCAACAGCAAAGTTCTCACTGCTCTACTAGAACCACTCAAGGAATAATCCCACATTCACTACACTGAAATTGGACAATATACTGTTATACATCATGCCAGAAATGCATAACAAGGATAAAACCATGCAATCGGTTGTTTTTGATGGCCAGCCGTTCGAGGTTTGTGTCCGTGATATACCGAAGGCAAATGTTGTCAGGCAAACGGATACCGTGGTTCAGGTCACTTCTGCGGCTATCTGCGGCTCTGATCTACACAACTACCACGGTGTCTTTGGCAGCAATCAGGTGCCTTATTCTATTGGACATGAAGCGATGGGTATCGTCAAGCAAGTTGGAGCGGATGTTGATTCCATGAAGGTTGGGGATAGGGTTATTATCCCTGATTTTCCTGATGGTGTCGGGCTGGATTTAGAACGTGCAATTAATCCTCCAATTGCATTTTATGGACAAGGTGATCAATTTGGTGATTTGGGAGGTTGCCAAGGTACGGTTTAGCGCTCTAGAATTATATTCTATTATCTCTTGAGAAGCAAGAGATCGACCCTTATTGAAGGAAGACCTGTGTCTAACTGACAACGACATTCCAACAGCCGAATTCGTGCGTGTTCCACTCGCGGACAAATCCTTGATTGTTCTCGGCGAGGAATATGATGAGATTGCGGATAGAGATCTGGTTCTTCTTTCTGATATCTTCCCTACTGCCTGGGCGGGAGTCACTTGGTCGGGTTTCGAGGCCGGAGATAAGATCGCTATTTTTGGGGCAGGCGCAGTCGGACTCCTTGCGGTGTATTCGGCAATTCTCCGTGGCGCCTCACGAGTGTATTCCATCGACTCCGTTGAAGAACGACTGGAACTCGCAGCTTCCATTGGAGCCATTCCGATCAACTTCACGAAGGGCGAACCGTCGGCACAAATTCTTGCCCGGGAACCAGGTGGCGTTCAGCGAACCGTAGACTGTGTTGGAGAGGAATGTGTCAATGAGAAATTGAAGTCTGACCAATCGTTTGTTATCACACAGGCGATAAAGTGCACCAGCGTGGGTGGTGGCTTAGGGGTTATTGGCGTACACTTTGCTCAAGCCTATTCCGAAGGAGTTCAACGAGGAAACACCATCTCACCCTCTATCACCTTTTCCATGACACTCTTCTGGGAGAAGAACATGACTATTCGTGGTGGTGCAGTGGACAGCAAATTATATGTTCAGCCACTGCTAGAACTTGTGAAAAGTGGCAGAGCTAAACCGGGCTTTGTTTTCTCCAGCATTCTTGATATAGAAGAGGCACCAAACGGATATCGACGGTTTTCTGATCACCTGGAGACGAAAATCATGATCAAGTTCTCCTAGGATAGAAAGTGCATCAGCTGGGTGAAGAGAAATATGTGTTGCTTCGTATGACGTGTGGGGATTTTCGTGGTATTGCCAATGATGTTTGTTAAACACCCTAATAGGTATCTCTATAAGGGCAAGTTATCCAAATTGTGGAATTAAATTCTCACCGCTACCTTTCAGATTTTTCATCATACATACTTAAGTTGCCATGTACATGGAATGCGAACTAGCCATATAGTTAAATCAACAGTGGAAGAAATTGTTCATTTCTAATAGTCAACATAATGTATTCCAGCCGAGACATTTTGCGCATATTTTTATCTATAGCAGGTCTCCCTATCTCAGGGTATAGTAGAGACCTCTCTAACTGAGGCTCAAGGATCGATATTCCTCCCTGGTTCACTATGAAATATGTTGAGGGTGCTTTTGTCTTTGAGTTTCAAGCCTTACAGGCACTAGAGCTGCGCGTCATCTAGGAGCATTGTATTAGTTATCATGGACATAGACATCCCAGGACTCAGGATGAGTCCAGCCAAGGAGTAGAACGACTGCTCGTTGGGCCTTTCAGAGATGCCACGATACTTCATATTGATTTAGCTCTGTAAACCTAATCCTTGGCCGCGAACATTGTTGCCCTTGCTGTTAATAGCTAATACTCATGGAGTCTTTCTATAGGCTCGCTGCAGATAATCTTTACTGCGTATGTCATATGCATAGAAGAGGGTATCTGTTCCGGTGCCACCGTCCAGCTTGTTTAGTCTGTTTGACTGGCGCCGGCACGGAACGGCGTGTGATGGTGTCGGCTCAAAGTCCGTCTGCTTGTGCCTTCTTTGGTCCTGATTGTGTCTAGCCAACTATCTGAAACAGAATCGTCATCCTATTGACTATGGTAAACCCTAAGGCCTTTATCAAACAAAATTAGAGCGTCTACAATCACAATCCTTGCCACGGCTTTGGCAATTTTCTAGAATAGTGTGTAGAGGTTGTGAGCATTCGGGGAAAGCGTGCCGAAGGTCAATTTCAGCATGCAGGTGTAATGATTGGTGAGATCTAGCCGAGATAACATCTTGTGTTCCTAAGCTCGAAACGTATAGAGGGCTGCAGAATCAATGAGGGTGCTCACTGCATTCGATAATGTGGCCAGTACAGTGAGGCTGCCTGACTTATCATCAAGGGAGGATATGGGCGAGATAGAACTGGCCTTCATCATGCAGCTAAGAATAGCATTGATTCTGCGGTGGCTTGAATACTAGGGGCAGGGACTATACAATCTAATGATACATTCTGGTAGGACACTAGTCCATGTCTCAAAACATCACTCTTGCATAACGCTCAGAACTTAACTATCACTTAAGTGAATTACATAGGTTCTCAATCTCATTGAGGTATGTGTAAATTCATCTGTTACTGTAGTCTAGCAAATTGGATATAGGCTTTTAAGCGCTTTGCCTTTGGCTGTGGTACAGTAGTTTCCCAGCTCTCTGATCCAGTTTAAGCCATCCGTGTTAAGATAATACCAAGTATGGCTTTCCACGTTCATCATCAGCGTCTAATATGCCATTGATGCAGTGAATGACATTGTCCTCTTCCAGGTCTACATTTCGCGCACGGTCAGACCAAATCGCCCCGCCCATTTTACACCGCCTTAGACAGAAAATTCACTGTGGGTATTCAGCTTTATACGGGTCTCTTTCCACTTGAAGAATGTATGGAGACAGTGATGGCTTCTACCAAACGTGATTAGCTTGATTAAAGCCACCTAGGACATTAGAGCATACTTTTACTATATCACGTAACAGCGATGTTAGATGATTTATATCAAGCGATTCGACATCCTTGACCTCCTAGAGCATGACATCGCAAACATCCTTGCTCTTGTCACAGAATGTACATATGCTCTTAACAACGCCGCTAACATCTAGAACAGGGTGCAAGGAAGTAATCAAAGACATAATGTTTAGGGGCAAAGAGCCTTCTAGCGTCAGAGTCATAGTATAAATAGCTAACAAAGTGTATCCAAAAGGCCCTATATTTGAGGGGCAGGATGACCTGTATCCTCCGCAAAAGCGGGGTTGTCTGGATCTGTTGAAAGGTGTGGCCGAATCATGATCTGTGATTGACCTTTCGCGTAGATGGGCCAAATTATATGTGATGCGGGGACGAGTTGGCCAATAAGGAACCTGCATGAGTTTAAGCCACAGATTACTCAGCACTACAAAAAGCCCATCACTGTTCGTTGTCCGAGTACACCGGACTTAGGCGTAGTAATGTACCGGTACCAACCTGATCACACCTTCACTCCGTTTATGAGTACACCCTAGCCTCTCGCAAGCAATCAGGGCCCAGCTACAACTGTGGCGTTTGTAATCGATGCACTGGCAGAACGTGTTGCTCTTAATCTCACGGGAGGCAAGACGACCAAGCGGGCCCCCGGCTATCACCAGGGGAGCGCGAGCACCAGGCACCTGAAGGATGGAGATTGTCTTATACCTTGTCCTGACCTATACAAGTGCAGACTTGAGCTGGGAAGACCACCTCAGGAACTGTGGAGTCTTTGAATGTCCTGGAGATTAAGACGGTGTAATCAATACACTTTAACTAATATGTTAAAATGCATAAGATTCCTCATGATACGGGCCTTATGAACTATGCCCCTGGTCAATCACGGATCTCACTATACCCTTTGAACTTGTACCTAAGGCTGGTGGTATTACTTATGGTGGTATTACTTATATTTTATCTTGTCCTCATAGTCCCACCGCACACTTGGGATTATGTTACTTTTAGTAACAGTGCCTGGACTACCGCTTTTCTGGTCGGAGATTACATTTCCTTTCGCTCCGACCCGCTGGAGACGCGATGGAGTCATTTGCCGACCCACCGTCCGGGTTGTAACCTCCCGAAATGCAGCCCACCGAAGCTGGTTTTCACCACCCAGGACTCCTTTTGAAGGGTTTAGCCATCACAAAACTTGCCATGTGACCCAGTTAGGGCCCAATTCTCCCCATTTAACTTGTAGCTGTCAGCATTGGGGATTTGGACTCTGACTGAAGGATTGACCCCCCGAGCACTGTCTTAGGAATGCCACCAACCATGTTCAATAGTAGACACAAAGCTGCTGTTCGAGGCCAAAGGGTACGAGCCGTCATCGCATGCGAGTTCTGCCGCCAAAAAAAGGTTGGTCAATATGATGTGATTCCCCGAGTTCGCCGTAATATATAATTTAGCCATGGTTAACGTCACGATAGCTCAAATGCAGTAACGATCGTCCAACCTGCCAGCAATGCCAGGCCCGTGGAAGAGATTGTACCTACGTGGAAACCCTCAAGCTCCCTCGGTAAGCTACTAGAGTGCTCTGGGTCGCCAACCAAATACCTAATGTATGGAATAGGCCATCTAAGGCGCGCATATCCCGTTTGGAGGAAGAAAACAGACGTCTCAAAGATTCACTGGCCAAGTTCGAGCAGCAGTTGAGGTCCCAGCGAGTTGACGAAGCACCTGAAACACAACAGCCAATGGTGTCTGTATCCCTGTCACACCAACTGGTGTCAGGGTCTACACCAGAATCATGTGATGGATCAAGAAGAAGAAAAGAGAGCGTGGCTCCCCACAATCTGAATAATCCGCCATTAGATTCCCAGCCCGCCAGCCAGGTCGACACTGTTGCGCAATCACATGGACCGACAAGTGCGGTCACTGATGAAATCACTTCAAACCTCGGCATGATGGCTAGAGGGCTTCCTCACCATGTCGAGGAACCGGAAGCCCTCCGAAATGCCTTGTTTGCAAACTCAGCCAGGCTAAGTACGTTTCCATGCCCAGATGCGGTGCACATGGCCTAACAAGATTTGATGTGTAGGTCAGTTGGAGAAAATCCACTTCAGTGCCGGCCAATATGATTTCGATGGGGTGGAACCTCAGGTCGCAATGCGTCTCTTATTGCTGTTCTGGGACCGCCAGCTCGACGTCGGTGCGGTTGTTTATAGACCTGTCTTCATGAGAGACATGGCATGTAATGGGCCATACTTCTCTAAGCTGCTTCTCAATGCCATATACTTCACCGCCTCAAAAAGCTGTTGCCACGAGGAAGTTTTCGATGATCGAAGCGACGCGCTGACAGCCGGTCGAATATTTCGGCGACGAATCATGGAACTGATCGGTGGTCATATTACCACTAGCGAAATACCTACAGTGCAAGCTCTTCTTTTACTCTCTCATGCTTTATTCAACTGGTGTGATGAGAAGAGTCTGTCGTGGCTATACTCTGGCATGGCTTTCAATATGATCACCGATTTAGGCATACACGCCAGCCATAGCGCGGATCCGAGGGTCGGCAGACTGACCCCCGAAGATATCGAAGCCAGACAGAGAGTATTCTGGGGTGCTTACAGTAAGGAAGGTCCTGTCCTATGTTATATCAAATCCTAAACTCACACCGATGATGTCAGCCATCGACAAGTTCTTGTCATTATATCAGGGAAGGTGCATTCGTTTGCGAGATGCTGACACGAGCTTACCTCTACGGTTTCTCGACGAATATGAAGAGTATGAGACATTGCACGCATCGTCATCCTATGCGAGCGCCAATGGAATTTCCGACCCCCCTGCCCATAACATCTCAATCCTGAAAGGTTACTGCTCTCTTTCCATCATTATGTCTGGCATCCTGGACACTCTATACGCAGAGCGCAGCACCACCAAGGAGCCATCCATTCTCCTTGATGCCTCATCATCCCTATACCACCAGCTCCAGAGTTGGCTCAAGGCTGTCCCACCCATCCTGGCGACTCCATTGTTGCAGATGCCTAGCAGGACTGCGTCGCCGCATATCCTTTCGTTGAGGTGAATACATAGACCCGCAGTCAAAATGGCTCAACTTTCGTTTTTGCTTACTCCATGCAGGGCATTATACCATACATTGGAAATCCTTCTTCACCGTCCATTTGTGTCCGATGGGCATCTGCGCGGTGTGTCATTGTCAGCCGCGTCGGTAGCATTCAACACGTGTGTCTCTGCAGCTGTTTCAATAGACCACATACTCTGCTGCTACGGAAGAGCATTTTCGATGAGATTGGCACCATACATTATATCATACGCAACGTACGTAAGCGCCACAATTCATGCCAGGGTGGCTGCGCAGAGCGCCCCAGGATCCCAAGCCCATGCTTCGCTCCGGAGGTGTATTTCGACGCTCAGAGAGCACCAGGAATCATCACTAGGGCCCAAGAAAGCTCTGGAGGTAATTCAGAATCTTATCAAACGCATCCGTATTAACATAGACGACAACTACACTACTGCCTCGCCCAGTAACGCGACCCCAGAAGACTCTGCAACTATTCCTGAAACATGCGGTGTATACCGTGACTCAGATAGGCGCAACACAGACTCCAGTGCAGGTCCGTCCCAGATCTGTACTCCGAATGAGGGATCTATTATGCCTCCGGAGACACTTGAGTACGACATGGACTGCATCTTCGAAAGCTTCAATATACCTCATAGGAGCGTTATACAGTCTTTGCACAATTCCCCACCCCAGGATGACGCGGATAAGATTTGGGAAGCTAGTATGTTAGATACGATGCATGTCTCGTTTCCCTTGGATCCTCTATACGGGCTGGAAAACATTCCTAGCCTTCTTTAAGCACGGCAATTATATCAATCCGTATCATTCTATAAAGTGATTATATATCGAGAACGCGGAACAATGACAACCGAACATGATGCCAGGCGATTACAATTGGCATGGCCCATGGCTCCTTTCTAAAGACATTGAAGTGATACCGGGTGGATGGACAGGCTTTGTCAAAATATAGCTCCCCCAATTCCTTCCGAGCCATCGTCCGGCGGATTCATTTGTATCCCTTGGCTTTCATTATTGTAAAAGCCTCTTCCAGCGCATCCTGCGCGTTCAAGATGGTATAACCATATCCTGCCAATGTCTTGACCAACTTGGACGCATCCAGCTTGGCGTTTGTGCGAGGTGCTTTAAGCACCTGTCTCTGTTCCTCAAGGCTGAAGTTTGTCCAACTAAGGGACGGTCGAATATATTTCTTGGTCAACTCCATGACCTCATTGTGAGTAAATGTGCCCGGATTTGTCTAACATTTATCAATGTTGTGCTTACATTCCGATAGCTGTCAAGGGTGACTCACAAAGTTAAATATGCCAGTTTCGCGGTGCCTTGATAGAAGGATTGCAGCTGGCGTCATATTCGTCATTATGGTGCCAGACTTGAAGTAGTGAGCTTCTCTGTACATCAGACCCCTCTAGTAGACTGTCACTCACATTAGGGACGTTGACGATCTTCTCGTATCTTATGAGCTTCGTGATGAAATTCATCGGATGAAGATCAGCGGCAAGCGGATTGCGAAGACGGAGGATCAAAACGTTCGGGTAACTCTTGATTGCCTACACCAGGAAGAATTAGACTATTGCCAAAAAAGAAAAAAAAAAAAAAAAGGCTAGGGGCGCAACCTGCTCTGAAACAAGCTTCGAATAGGAGTAGAAGGATGCGCCATAGTTGGGCGGCTCCTCCTCCGTAAAGCCTGGGCCATCTAAAGGATGGGTTTCGTCTTGATCATAAATGCAGGCCGAAGCGAAATGAGTAACATGAACACTTCGCAGAAAACAACAGTCGACTAGATTAGCAGCGCCGATCACGTTGGACCGAATTGCAGCATCTTTATGGTCCTCACACCAGTCTGCGTTAGGGAAGCCTCTTACACCGGCGGTGTTGATCACACGGGTGGGCTTGACGCGGTCGAGCTCGCTTCATTGATGTAAGTGATACTAGCCGGGGACGATGCTATCGATGTCATTTACCTCAGAACCGCCTCGCGATTTTCAATTCGCACAGGTGAGACCTCGTAATAGTCTCCATTCTTCAACAACTCTCCTTGGATGAGACCAGATACCCACCCGTTGCCTATTTTGTCCATGTCAATGCGGATGCATGTGTGGGCCCGTTTCGACGGTCCTTCTTGGTGGTGTACGTACCAAATATCAGGAACTTCTCGTTGGAAGACAGGCTTGCCATTTCGATGATAGGACCAGTATATTTGATTACCTCTGTGCTTATCTGTGAAGATCTAGTTCACGGTTGAATAGCAGAAGCGAGCCGCATCATAAATGTAAAGAATACCCGGAGTCGGCCGGAGTCAAGGTGACTGTTGGGTTCGGAGTCAGGGGTCAGCGAATTAAGTAAATAGTATGTTCGGAGTCAGCAGGGTGTCTCAGGTACATCACTGTTAGTTGAGTGGTTATCCGACTATTCACACATCTATGTTATTTTTGAGTAACCCAGTGTCGCATCAGATAAACACGGAGTCAAACTGTGCCCGAAGTTGGACCAACAACATACGAGGCCTAATTGACTCCGGTTACGAATCGTCTACACACGCTGTGGAAATGCACGATATTAAAGGCCCTGAGACTTCCCATGGTCAGTCCTAAAGGCTAGGAGACGATCCAATTGAACGCAATACCAACCATTCAAATTCTTCGCCCCCACAGAATGGCGCCCGCGGCTACCGAAACCCCCGATACCTCGGTATCGCCGAGCGAGCGTAGCGAGACACCAATCGATACTTTCCTGACGGGACTGTGCAAGTTCGAGCCTCTCCCAAACGTACGAACGATCCTGATTACCGGCGGGGCAGGATTCATGTAAGCATCTGCTCTTCAACATATTATTACAGCGGACCACCTGAGATTGATCATTGCTAGTGGAAGCTGGGTAACACGACACCTGGTCCGGCAATATGCCGAGACATATAATGTGATATGTCTTGATAAGATGGATGTGGTGGCCTCATTGAATAACATCCTCGACTTGTTCACCTGTCCCAATTTTCGCTTCCTTCATTGCGACCTCAATGATCAAGACACTGTCCTGTTTGCGCTTCAAACCTACCGCGTGGATTGCGTCCTGCACTTCGCAGCAAGCAGCCATGTCCAAAACTCATTTAGTGACCCTTTCACATTCACGCGGAACAATGTGCTCGGGACTCAGAGCCTCCTGGAGGCCGTTCGATCCTATGGTAAGGTAACGCGGTTCATCCACGTGTCGACAGACGAAGTCTACGGCGAGACGAACGGCCAAATGGCAACGGAGGCGTTCACACCAATGCGACCGACAAATCCTTATTCAGCTAGTAAGGCTGCAGCAGAGATGTACGTGATGGCATATCAGAAGAGCTTTGGACTTCCCGCCATTATCGTGCGCAGCAATAATGTCTACGGCCCGGGGCAATACCCCGAAAGTCAGTGCCATCAATCCGCTTCCTTGACTGGAGAGCGCTATGCTGATTTCATAAACAAAACCCAGAGATTATCCCCAGGTTCACCGGCCTGATGCTCAAAGGCCACAAACTTACCCTTCAAGGAAACGGAGACAATGCCCGCCGGTTTCTCTATGGAGCAGATGCCGCCGACGCATTCGACACAATCCTGCACAAGGGAGAGGTCGGGGAGATATATAACGTTGATTCCCGCTACGAGATAACAAACCGCAAGGTAGCGGCCATGATCATCGAGTTGTTTGGACACGACCCGGTCAAAGGCTTCAGCAACATGGTCGCCTGGTTGCCTGATCGGCCGTTTAACGATAATGACTACGCGGTTGATGGGAGCAAGCTTCAAGCGCTCGGTTGGACTCAGAAAATCAACTTTGATACTGGGTTAGCGATGACAGTCGATTGGTATAGGAAGCACATGGCGACCTGGTGGCACTACCATTATGCCCAAGATGGGAAGCAACTTGTCGCAGAATCATTCCCTGTTTAGAAAGACCTTATTAGAACATCCTGTTTAGAAAGTAGTGTTTGTTTGCGTTATCCGCTTGTCTTTATGGGAAGATTAATGAAATACTACTCGTTAGCATTTTAATCTTTGCTGCATGGTATGGTGTTGTCAGTACACTGAATATTTATATGTCAGTGTTCCTAACCAACACAAGGCGCTGGAATTTCGTGCTAGAGAAATCTTCGAGCTACACAATTCCAAAAGGGCTGTCGTGTCACCTCAAGATGGGATGACCAAGATTAGGAGCTGCAACGAGCTTTCCGTCGTCATTCTCTGGCATTCGAATTAGCCCTCTCCAGGGCCGAGTACCCCCCCCAAGCCCAAAGCAGATATGGTAGATCAAGCTTTGTCGGAGCAGAGCATTGGTTCGCTACAGACGACTCGTTTTACGAACTAAAGCTGACACTTAAATTTAATGGCATTCTAACCACTTGGATTCTAGTACAATAAGATTGTCCCTCACTGGGAACAAAGCTCGCCACATGGGACATGCACTCCGATATAAAAGCTGTACCAATAATGATGGACAAACCCACCGAAGTATCTTCTTCGATGGATTGGAACTTCTAATCGGCCACACTGGCTATGCCTCCGTTGTGTGTCGCGTACTTGCTCCAACTTCGGATCGTCGGCCCATAGCGATAGAAAATGTACGGCACAAGAGTCATCAACGAGCTAATGCACGCGAGAATCGTCAAGGTATAATGCACACCCATGTTGCGGTAGAACGGAATCCCAGCAACCGTCATTCCGCCCGCCACATAGTAGCGCGACACCGTCATAAACGATAAAGCGGACGCCGCATAAATATCGTAGACGTCAATAACGTACATGTAGGAACTGGTGAATACCAGAATGGTGCCGTAGCCGACAAACGTGGATGCAACTATCGGCAACCAGATGGATATATGAGGCTAGACGATGCCCATTGAGTTAGCCGATTCTTTCTGATGGAATGGTAAAGAGAGAAATGACCTGGGTACTTACGAAGTCGGTCCAACCCATCCAGAATAGGCCAATAGGGATAGCAGGTGCACCCAACATGGCGAACCACAATCGATTCTCTGGACGCGTGTGTGTGCTATCCTGCATTGCCTCTGCCCGACTGAACTCCAGTTTTGTCCACCGATAGATCAACGGTACCAGACATGCCGCTACCATCATTCCAACGAACATTGCCACCCAGATGATGTTGGTGAGTCCTTGCGACAGTCCGTGAACCTCACCAAAGATGTATTCATAGCCATCAAAAAAGGTAAAAATGATAATGTAGATCACCGTCATATATAAGGAAATCAAAATGACGATTGGCTCCTGGAAAGTAAGGAGGAACTCCCGCTTCAATGCATCATAAATACGAGCGAAGGCCCCTACCTCAGCATGGCTGATATCCATTTCAGATACGAACCGGCTGTCACCCGTGACTATGCGGAAATGCTTCGCCTTCCATTTCAAAAGGAGGGGCCCATAGGTTTCAGGTTGCAACAGGATCACTATGGCCAGAACGGCGCCCGACATGACCAAGATGATCCAATTCACCCAGCGCCATCCAAGGCTGCTTTGGCCCATGTATGAAGAGATCACAGGCGCGAGGATAGGGCCCGAGAATGAAAAGATGGCATAGAACGGAAAAGCAAGGGTCTTCTCGAGCGGGCTCCACAGATCTGCGATTGTACCCCCGGCACAGGTCAGGGGTGGAGAGCCAAAGACACCGGACAAGAACCGAAAAATAAGCTCTGCCCCATAATTCGGAGCAAGGCCGGAAGCCATCACAAAGATCATGAAAATGACGAGGGAGCCAAGGTAGACCATATTGCGACCGAAGATCTCGGACAGGGGCCCCGAGAAGAGGGCTCCTGTTGCAAAGCCGAAGAGGTACATGCCTTGGAAATGGTCAGTCGGGAGGTCTTTACCACCAGGTCGTATGGCAATGGATTCGACCTACCAGTCACCAGGGAACCCGCAACCTTACTCACGTTGAATTCCTCGCTGCTCTGGGGTAGTACGACAGCGGTTATGGACGAAGCCGCTCCTACAGCAAAAGATAGAACAGAGACCAGTAACGTCGCTATCATGCGGTTGAAGAGGCTGAAGTTGCGTGGGCTAAGAGCATCATGTTTTCCTTCCCAGTCAACCACAAATAATTGTTTCGGTTGAGTCCCAGTGGCGTCAGAGAGTACCTTGACTTGGATACCTTGCAAGGACTCGATGGCATGCGTGCCATTCTCCGAAAGTGCCTTCTCCGGGTCATCTGAGCGCTTTTGGTCTGTAGCTGCGCTGAGTGAATCAGGAGTAGGCGTTTCGGACCCATCGGTCGGCGAAGCTTCGTCCCGCCGTTGCCCTTTGAAGGGGCTGGTTTCGAGCTGTCTGTTAACAGCATGTCGCAGCTGCCTGTACTGAAGATAGGATTGCATTTTCAATGGGATTGAGAAGGCCAGTATGATCAAGAAGTCAGGAAAAGCTCCCACGCCCCAGAAAACTGGGTAGATCAAATAGAACACCGTACATGGACATTACTTCATGGCAGCAGAGAAACCATCCTCCGTCAAATGACTATCCGGACCACATTCTACATTATAAGGGAGCGGGAAATGTTAGAGCGGCCCGGCTCATATCATCCCGGGAATCAAATGGCACGTACCCTAGTCACCGTAGCCTATCTAGTCTGCCACCAGCACGTTCCGGTCAGGAAGTCAGCGAAGCCCTCTGAGTATGCAATGCGCCTGGTTGACCATGTTTGCATCCGGGTCGGGTTGGGAATCGGACAGCCGCGTTATGCACCAAGTCGACCGAGTTGCGCCCGGATAGGTTCCCGAACAACTTGAACCTTGTTTTGTGGGCCGGGCGGCATGCTCCGATCCAATCGTGGCCATTGCTTCAAGTGAACCACACACGGTGGTCCAGTTCCGTCGTGCTTCGGAGGTTATTCACTCTCCGTGCGGATGCGAAGGAGTGAGCCCCTGCTTGAACAACCCCAGTAGTGCTGTCCCTTATTTAGTTCTTAGCCTGCTCCAACGCGAGCAGGGGCAATACGACATCCGCAAGCTCCTATGTCTTCCCTTTTACCAAGGGTACAGCGCTTGGAGTACTAGTTTCTTTCTGCTAACATCCTGGAAAATGGCAGCTTGCAAAGGTGGAAAACCCCAGGAGCGGTCAAACAAGCCGGAGTCAGTGCTTTCCAACTTTCCGCTTACTGTGGGGCTCATTTAGTGCTTGTAAACGACTAACGAACTAGAATATTTGTTCAAGGGACACTCCTTTTTTCGAGGCGGCCCGACCCTCCAAGGATCCGCGAACCAGACAAATATCTATTCCGAAGGATTAAGGCTGAGTGTTGCCTTGACCAGCAATTTTCCAGCCGATGTGGGCCTCCGTGTCGATCGGGTGCGAGTTTGAAGCGCAAATATCTATTTTTGACGCTGTTTTGTGTCTGGAGTCTTAACTGGCCGCATCATCTGCTACTTTGGGGAAGCAGAATGTAACGAGGGTGATCCTTTGGGTTTGAAGTTGCGACCTTTGCATGATTCCTGGATATCCGTCTTGCTGGTGTGGGTATAGCAATCTATATTCCGTTGTGGTTGCTAACTTTCCACATTGGTCTCAGCAACGCCCTGAATAAAACAGATACCAGTGAGTCCCTGATGTTATCTCCAACAGAGCAACAAGGATTCCTTCCTTCCCCGGGGCCTTTCGGGAAGGAAACGGCCTTCTGTAACGCGTATGACGAGTGTTTTGATTCGCATTCGATTGTTTTCATGGACTCCCACAATACATGGGAAAGTGCCATCTCCTTTTATAGGGAAAAACGCATCCATTATCGACTCGAATAACGAAACTTCCCACCCTACTACAAGCGAAGCCACGGCCTTGGCTATTGGGCTTGCAAGCTTTTATGATGCGAATTGAGAGTATACCGGGAAAGGCGGTCTTGTTGCTGAATCTCGAGCCGTCGCTGGAGATCTAAACTAATGGTTTCAAGCGTACCATATACTGTGGCTTGTGCTAGGATGTACACGGTAATTACATTAATATAGAGCGTCATGCAGGGCCAATCCAAAAGGTGGGGTCTCCCAGGCTGAATTATGCATCTGCTATCTTGCTCGCGGACCCGCGAACGGGGTGGATCTATGCGAGTTCGATACGAGGGACCCCATCTTTTCAACGTCGGATTTGCCAACCAGGATCAGCACTTGCGTGTCCTTTATTGATAAGGCCCCAGACGTATACCCGGGCGGCCTGCCCTCTTCGCGCTCAACCTGAAAATACTGCCCTTGTTACTGTCCCCGCCTGTGTTCTCCTGAGTTCTTTTACGTCGCTACTACTATTCTTACAGCTTAAACGATCTCAGTATGGCGGACGACAGTCGTAAATGGACCGAGGCCGAAGACCAAATTCTGGAAGCGGCAGTGCGTCAAGGTAAGTCGACTAGCCTTCGAAGCTCTCGGTCATCCGTCAATCAGAAGTTACGAAATTCTGATGAGTACGTCTCCATTCTTTAGCTGCGACGCCAATTGACTGGCTCTGGATAGCAAGTCGCCTCCCCGAGCGAAGCAATAAAGATTGCCGCAAACGCTGGTACCAGAGATTTGCAGGTAACACTAATTTTGGGAGCTGGATGGATGCGGAAGATGGCCGACTGCGCGCCGCAGTTGCGCGGCATGGCACAAAGTGGCCAATAGTTTCCAAAGAAGTTGGGACCCGTACCAGTGATCAATGTTCCAAGCGTTGGAAACACGTCTTAGATCCAAACCTCGATCATAGTCCTTGGACTCTTGAAGAAGTACGTACATCATGCCTCATTAACGTTATCTGTCGGATAAAAGCTTATCGGACTTTTTGTAGGACAATTCCTTGCTCACTGGTGTCGAACAGCACGGACGGAACTGGAAGATGATATCTGAGATGTACTTCAAGAATCGGGCGGCATTATCTCTGAAGAATAGACATGCTCTCCTGATCCGTCGAAGAAATAGGTCAAATGGATTGCCTCAGGCTTTGTCAAAACTGCAAACGAGATCTCCCTCCCACTCTCCCAAAACTATTGCAATGCCGGAGTGTCGAAACAGCACACAGCAACTAGAGAATTCTGCAGCTTCTAGTGATGACCCCCGGCCATTTGAAAAAGAAATCCAAGATGAAGGCATGACTAGCAAAGTCAATGACAATAATTTACAGAGCAAAACTGCTCGATATGACTGGGGTGACTTGGAGGTGGCTACATCAAATGCTACGTTCGAAAAGGGAGAATGTTGGTCCGCAGATCCAGATCTTTTCCTGTCGTCGTCCCCGTTTCAGGGCCAAATATCCGATGAGGGTTTTGGTATTGGCGATATCCTCAAAGAGCCGAGCTGTGGGCCTCAAAGTGTCACGCCACTGCGACAGTGCAGTGTGGCTGACTTCCAAGATAACTTCGAGGGTCTGCTGGGTTCTATGTCTCCACTTGACAACTTCACACTGTATCCAAATGCCTCATTGGGCTCAGCAGAAACAAGCCCAGGCCCGAGCAGTGACCTCTGCACTCGACCCAGCAGTGGTTCTAGCAGTGCTCGCATGACAGCAGCAACAGGATTCGATAATGAACAGTTAACAAGCCCCATGGCGCCCTGCCGTCACGAGGACTGGAACAATTTATTTAGCCTGACCGTCCGCTGTACAAAAGGGAAGATGGAAGCGATCAGGCAATCTGTTCTGGAGACCACGAGTAACATGCTCTGTATTGAAGAAAATGATGATGATCTGATTGAAATGAGACTCACGGTAGAACGAAGGTCCTAGGTGTATTAAATTCGCGGTACTTCTACCTTTCTTTTATCTCCCAATAACACAATTACCAACAACCTGCCATTGATCGCAGCTACTTTGTTCGCGTGTATAGCTGCGTCTAAGAGGATATACGTGTTGCGCTGGTAGGACGGGCCGTGGCACAGGCCTTGCATGTTGTGAAACCAAATCGCGTGCAGAGTAACAGGGAATAGGTCTGCTACAGGACGGCTACGTTACACCAGGCAGCTATGGAGCATCCAGCGGGGCATAAAACCTGCAAAGCGATTGGCGACCCATGTATTATTAACGTCGACGAAAGTAAACTATGCACAGTCGCCAAAGGGTCCGCGAGGTAAGGGACACAGGCATACTATTTTCCTTTTTGAGGTCTTCAATGGCGTATCGTAGAACGTCTGCCTCCTACAGTTGCACGAGGGTCGGGCTGGCCGTTTTGTTTCCAACAAACCTAGTTCAATGATCTATATCCCAACCGTTCTAACCTGTGACCATCCAATTTTTACTTAATTTCGTTCCTGCGTGAGGTCTGCCTAGCTAGACCTTGCCATGACTCGTCTCTACCCTGAGGGTCATAATATTTCAGATAGTGGACCCTCCTAATGACCCTGATGACCCGTATTATTATTTTTATTATTATTAATCAAGTTTAACGTCCCGTATCGTGCCGTTGGCTATGACAGACCCGTATGCCTTGGCAGTGGCCTAGGCCACTACCTCTAAATAGCCCCTAGGAGCTCTATCAGCCCTCTACCATTTTTGTATTCATTCTGATCCTTTTCCTCGCCCGAGCCGCCTATCTGCGCCAGAGCCTTTGGGCTGTGCCCTTCTCAGTATTTACTGCTTGCTAGATATTATCTAGGCATGTCTAGATGGCCTCTCTGAGATGGTAGAGTTTGTGTAATCTGAAGCGGGGAGTTGTACTACTATAAGAAAGAGACGGAGATTGTCGTTATGGGCCGGTTGAGCTGGCCCAGGATATAAATGATTGGAGCCATATACGTCGAGTCTGCCCTGCGGCGAGTCAGTTTTCGAGAAGAAGGGGGAGAGGCCCAATTCCAGCACCACTCAACTTGCGGGTGTTGTGATTTGATTGTTGTCCCATGTTCATCCGAAACTGAGATTTGCTGCGCTCGGTCCAAGATGAAGTGTACAAAATGCAAACTAACGAGGTGTCGGCTTCAGCATGTAAGTTTATGCGGCATGGTGGTTGAAGGGGTCGTTGCGAGAGACTGCTCGCTAGGGAACCACCCTCAACTAACTGGCAGGGACTTTTCTTCAGAAGCAGGATCTCAGGTAAAGGTGCCCCCGATAGAGCAGCGGTCCCCCCAGGTTGAGACTGACCATTCATCCTTCTTCTATTTGCCCTGGCCGACGTGACTCCCACGCTCTTCTAATGCCCAGCCGTCGACTGGGCGACTAGGCAATCGATGGACTACCCTTTTATCGTTGCGACGTCTTGAACCGGATTTTTACGTTGCGATCTCTGGCAAATAGAAGAAAGTCACTCGTTAGTCAGTTGCACTGGGACTTCTTAATGAAAAACCACGTCCTGCAGCGCGGCAGTCATTAACGCAATTTGACTAGCCCTCATTACAGTAGCACTAGGTGAGTACTGAAAAATAATGGAAAAGTCTGCATAAGTTATACAGTTGATTAGTACTTTCTATATTTGCTTTTTATTTTGTCCATGGTCGATGAATGGGCTGCGCCGACGTTTTTCCGTCGGCAGGGCATACGCAGCGACGAAGCAAACACATACACGCAGCGGCATTATCCACAACTACTTCTCAAAAGAGATGATCTAGCCTATAAACGCTGAGGCCGGCAGCGAATTCCCGTGCTTATGAAGAAGGCGCAGGCGATTATGACGCCAAATTCCGGCATAGTAATGCCGATATCTGTTAGGGGTGAATCAACTGTTGTAAAATGGGAAACGATCAGCAAAATGATCCACATCAGATTACCGACAGCCACGGCAACGAGACCCATGAATCATGTCATTGAGTCGCAGGTTTAGTCGCGCTATGGGAACTATAAATTGAGTCCAGAGAGCCCGAAGAATGGGAAATTTGAAACGACATAACCCTATGTTTTCTTTTTGACTCTCAAACCTGCGCTACCTAACTGTACCAATTTCACTTTGACAGTACTTGCATAATACACGGCATGGATACTCAGGGCAAACGATTACTAGCGAGGACGGTGGATCAAATTGCTGAACATGATCCGGAAAGACTGTTTGCGGTGATCCCGCGAGGCCCAGACTTGTCGGATGGGTTTATGGACCTGACTATGAAGGGAGCAGCTGAGGCCGTGAACTTTATGTGCTGGTGGATTGAGAACACCATTGGACCCGCGGTCTCTCATGAGACGTTGGCTTACATGGGGAGCAATGACGTGCGCTACTGTTTTTTTCTTCTTGCATGCCAAAAGACCGGTTATCAGGTATGAATACCTTGATCCGATGGCACGGAAGCGACACAGCTGACGCGAAAATTGGATAGGCCTTCTTGCCTTCCACAAGGAACTCGGATGAGGCTCATATCCACCTGCTAAAGGCCTGCAACTGCACTAAATTATTCTTCAGTGAAGAGCGAAAGGCACGGATCCTTGAAATACAAGGACTCCACCCAACTGCCGCGATATTTCAAGTACCAACTCTCAACACAATGCTTGAGGATGAGAGTGGAGCACGTCCGTACTATTTGAGAAAGTCCTATACCGATGCTGAAGATGAAACAATCTGTATCATCCACAGTTCGGGGACGACCGGTAAGTGCAACGACTCCACTATATCTCCGCCTAGTACTAATTGTCTTGGATTCTGAAGGTATGCCAAAGATAGTTCCCCTTAAAAATGGATTCTTTGCAGCTGTAGATGCTATGGCTCAGTTGTCATGGCCTGCAGGTCGCCAGCCAAGCGCGTTTTTCTACTTGACCAACCAGGATCGCGTCCTCGCTACGACCCCCTTTTTCCACTTGATGGGGTTTATGTCCTTTGCATTCTCCATCTTCCACAGTGTTCCTGTGGTTATCGGCCCTGATAAACCTCTGTCAGTGGAATATTTGACTGAACTTATGCAAGTTACTCGCCCAACGGGTGCGCTTTACCCTCCTTCAGTTCTCGAGGACCTGAGCCATTCGGAGAAGGCACTAGAGTCCATTGGATTCCTAAAGTTCGTCTGTTTCGGGGGCGCTCCATTACCCTTGGAGACAGGTGATCGATTGCGCAAACACACCCAGGTGATTTCTGTTATCGGTTCCAGTGAGATAGGCTGGATCCCCTCGTTGGTGCCAGAAGATGAAAGTAACTGGGACTACTTTGAATGGAACCCGGCCTATGGAATCGATATGCAGGATACAGGCGATAGCCTATATGAAATGGTTATTCTGCGATACAGCTTTTCGCGCGATTCCAGGGCGTCTTCCATACCTTCCCTGATATCGATGTCTATCGAACCAATGATCTCTATATCCAGCATCCTTCTAATCCCCGCCTGTGGAAATACTATGGTCGGCAAGATGATGTGATTGCCCTGAGCAACGGAGAGAAGTTCAATCCGGTCACAATGGAAACTATCATTGAGGGGCACCCGCTCGTCTCTGGAGCCGTGGTGGTTGGCCAGTCCAGGTTTCAGGCCGCTCTTCTGATAGAGTTGAACCTAGACATGCCGGAGATGGACTTAAAGCTCGTCATCGAGGAAGTCTGGCCTACAGTACAAGCGGCAAATCAAACCATCGCCGCCCACGGCCGAGTGATGAAGAGCAAGATTGGATTTGCCTCAAAGTCTAAGCCGTTCAAGAGAACCCCGAAAGGCACAATCCAACGACGTGCCGTGCTTCGGGAATACGAGAAAGAGATCAACGCGATCTACGAGACAAATTTCGAAGAAGATCCAGAGTACTGTCTCCCTGAGCCTCTAGATCAGGAGACCGTCGTGGAGTATACTCGTCAGGCTATCGCTCGCGTCCTCGAGCAACCCCACATTCCCATTGACCAAGACCTCTACAGCCTTGGGTTGGATTCATTAATGACCATCCAGGTCGCCAGAGTGTTAGAGCGGGGTATCCGGGTCCATCGACCTGAGGTAAAACCACGCATTATTACCCCTCAGACCATTTACGCCAACCCAACAGTGCAGCATCTGGCGAAGGTCATTTATGGAATGGTAGACGGTGATGTACAGACCAAAATCCCTCGAGAAGAGAAAATCCGCCGTTTGGTGGAAAAGTACACTTCTGATCTTCCTCGTACCCGGAATAGTTCTCCTCGAGAGGGACCGAGTTCGCCCTCGACCGTGATCTTAACTGGGTCCACTGGCTCACTAGGAACGTACCTCCTGTTTCATCTGCTCAGCATTCCGTCAATCTCAAAGGTCTATTGTCTGAATCGCTCAGACGCTGAGAGTCGACAAAAGAAAATTTTGGATCAGAAAGGATTGTCCGTGGACCCTGATGACTGGTCAGCTAAGGTCGAGTTCCTCCAGGCCTCTTTTGGAGAACCACTACTCGGCCTAGAGAAAGAGAAATACGCTGAACTGCTGGAATCAGTGGACACAATTATTCACAATGCCTGGAAAGTTGACTTTAACCTTGCAGTAGAGTCATTCGAAGCCACTCATATCAGAGGCATGCGCCAGTTTGTGGACTTTTGCCTGCAAAGTCAGTACAATGCCCATCTCCACTTCATGTCTTCCGTTAGTACAGTGAGCGGATGGACCCCCGAAATGGGATTATCGGTACCAGAACTGCCGATGGAGGACAGCAACTTGGTTCTCCCCCAAGGATACGGCGAGTCAAAGCATGTTTCGGAATGTATTTGTCTGGAAGCATCACGGCTGTCGCGTGTTCCTGCAACACTATACCGCGTGGGACAGATTGCAGGGCCAACTACCTCGAGTGGACGATGGAACCGACACGAATGGCTTCCGACAATCATCGCAACGTCAAAGGCGATGGGAAAGATCCCCAACAAACTAGGCTCGATGGTTGTTGATTGGATCCCAGTTGTAAGAGAGCTGTTTCGGTTTTATTACAAGCCTCGGTTTGCTAACCCTGATATTTAGGATAAGCTCTCGTCTATCATAGTTGAGATTGTGCATACGCGCCATGGATACCGACCTGAGTCTCCTTCAGCAGTATTCCATCTCACCAATCCCGAAAGCGCTCAGTGGTCATCGCTCATTCCGGCCATCCAGGAGGAATGCCATGTTGAACCAGTTGAGTTTGCTGAGTGGGTTGCAGAGCTCGAGAGTATTGAGAACCCAACCGCTACGGACGTGGCTAACAAGCCAGCTCTAAAACTGCTGAACTTCTATCGCGGACTTGCTGCGAATTCTGCGCTCTCGGTGGCTCTAGACACCCAGAGGGCGAAGGAAGCGAGTACAACAATGAGATCACTTGGACCAATTTCGGCCCCTTTGATGTCGAATTGGTTACAGCAGTGGCGGTTTTGAGATGCAGGTTGTTTAACAAACAGGCAGCCGCGATTTATGATGTTTTGGGAGACGGTAGAAGGACTAACTGGGGTAATCGCCTAATCAGGGTGCCTGCGATTTGAATCTTGCAATCTTACCGTAGGATACACGAACTATATATGGAGAATTGATGACTCCTATTTGGGGCTTTGGCATGTCCGTCGGCTTTGCTGTGGTGGTCTTGAGAGCTCTCCCCCTAGCGGACCTTCCTTTTCTTCTTTTCCCTGTCAGCTCCGATACTTTCGTCAGTAGGCCCGAATTGATCTGTTTCTTTCGATTGGCCCGTAACATCTATGAGGGCTGGAATTCACCCACGGATGTCATAGAGGGTCGCTAATGTCGCTAACTTCTAATGACGAGCCTTTGCGATATATTAGAAGAAGTAATTTAGATTCCTTTACTTAACTAGTTATCTCTTACCCCAGCCTAACTAAACATTATTAGAAGTCAACCGGCGGACGTACTGGAAGGATCATCAATATGAATTTCCTATCCTCGCCAGCGTGGCACGAGACGTCTTTACCACACTTGATAGAATACACACACAGGAGCGCACAAACACATGTATATGCGGACACCTACACCTTGGGAAACGTCACCATTCACAAAGTAGTAGGTTCTCATAGTTTTGAATTCTTCCATTCCCGCTTTCTCAGATCTGCCCTCCGAACCTTCCCACTGCTTGTTCTCGGCAAGAATTCCTGATTGACAAACTCCACTTTCCGCGGGTATTTGTACGGCGCGGAGTTCGCTTTACAAAAAGCCTGCAGTTCCTTCGTGAGCCGAACTCGGGGGGCATTCGCGTATTGAGAGGTCAGAACTATTACGGCCTTGACAACCTCTCCGCGTATCACGTCAGGGGAGGATATCACAGCACATTCCGCGACAGCGGGATGTTGTTTTAAAGTGGACTCAACTTCAAACGGACCTAGCACGGAAATATTAGCTGCTAGCTCCACAGATTCTTGAAGCATTCACAAACCAATTCGATAGCCAGAGGAGTTAATAACGTCGTCCGCGCGACCCACAAACCATAAATATCCGTCCTTGTCTCTCTTGGCCCTGTCACCAGTTAAGTACCACCTTCTGACCCTCCCGTGGACGATGTTAATTCTCTCGTTGCGTGTGACTTCGCCGTTATCACCAACATATCCATCGAAGATTCCAAAGAAACTTGAGGAAGAATCTCCATCAGTAAGGAGGAGTGCCAGCTCGCCCTCTTCGTCGGCTTCAGTTTCTCCACCGGCAAGGTTGATGACATGCAGGGGCACTCCTGGAATCGGCTTGCCCATCGATCCAGGGCGAATTTGAAAGCCACCATAGTTTCCACACATCAAAGTTGTCTCAGTTTGGCCGTAGCCTTCGCAAATCGTTAATCCGCTGAGGTTTCGCCACTGGTTAATTACTGTGCTATCCAGGGCCTCCCCGGCTGAGTTGCATTGCGTGAGAGCGCACGGTGCCTTCTTGCTGTAAAGTGTTTGGCACTGGTGAGAGACGAGCTGCCGCCATGCTAACGGAGGGGCACATAGAGTCGTGATTGGAAAATGGTGCAAGAGCTCGAGGATGGAGGTTGCGTTGAACGGTCCTCGGTCGTCCCAGACGAACAAAGTAGCGCCACAGTTCCACGCTCCAAAGTAAGTATATGCTGCCTTCCCCCATCCTAGAGTTCGAATTTTATTAGCACTTTCATTGGGAGGTTGTCCTATTCGGCCCCTAATCACCTTGCTCTGTGCAATTCCAGCAGATCTTCCCAGCGGATAATTTGAGCCAATGTTCGCCAGTAAGAAGGTGCGCTGGGCCAATTGTTAGTCCGACCTTCCTGCGACTCTTAGTACTTTGGTAGACTTACCTAATGGATAAGAAACCTGATTATGGCGCACCATTTTGGGTAGACCAGAAGTGCCTGATGTAAAGTATAGGATTGCCGGAGAATTCCACGGCTGCCTGATCGAGCAATATCTTGCGGTTGTCTCGATCCGCTTCAGGGCCATGTACAGGCCCGTTACCCCTGCTTCCGGCTCGCCCTCTGCCTGGATGATGACCCGGAGGGAGGGGCAACTGTGGCGGACCTGCAGGACCTTGCGGACACTCGTGGTATCACCGACAAAAACTGTTGCGTTGCTTTTTTGACAGCGGTACTCGATGTCCCTCGCGGTCAATAATGTCGTAGCGGGCGCAATTATTATGCCACTGCGGAGACCGGCTGTAGCAACCTCCCACCTATAAAGCTGTGTCAGAGAGTAGACCACCTATCACCAGAGATGGGCATACCATGCCGGAACTCGTGGAAGGACAATCATCATAACATCCCCCGGACATACACCCAGCTGGCCGAGTAAGAGAGCAATGCGGTGTGACTGCCGAGAGAAGTGTTGATAAGTCAGCGTCTTTTGGGTGGCTTTGTCGTGAGACACCCATAGCATGGCTTGCAAGGAGGGTGATTTGGCAGCCCAGGTATCAACAACATCAGTGGCGAAGTTGAAATAATCTGGCCGTTGCAGATGACTGCATGTAAGGGGTTCCATATCGACAGAATAATAATGAAGTTCGTATATATCAACCTGAGGCGCTGATGAAAGCGAAGTAGCTGTTTTTATGTGGCATTAGGGCATTGCAATGGCTTCCAAGTACGACGTGGCGTTTCTGCCCACTACCCGAGGCGAGTATTGCTCCCAACAACGGGTAGATATGACTCGGGCCGATTGAGGCTTTGGGCACTTTAATGACCAGCACACACATCCTAGTCAATGCCATGGAGACCTACGCACCTCTTTGTTTCCAAGGTACAACGACGTTACTAGTTCTAGTTGGCGGCCGGGGTGACCGACGGCCCGAGGCTAGCGGCTTAGGGTAAGAACCAAGGACTTACCAGTATTCCTCGGCCGAGAGTTGTTGCCATCCCCGCAAAACATCTCGAAGTCCGGCTCAAGCCCATAGGTAGCGCATTATTGGGCGGTTAATATAGCTTGCTTGATAAATTTCGACCTGGTCCTCATTTGGCGGTCGCACTGTCCTTCACATCATCACATGTGGCTTCGTACTTCTGATTTGATTGATTCTCCGTGCCAGTGAAAGCAGAACTTCTGCGGCTGAAGTTTAGTCTAGCGACTGCGGAGTGAGTACGCCCTACCCACATGGACAGTGATTTAATAACTGATATAGCTAGATCAAACATATCAAGATGGCAGATAAACTTGGATTAAGCCTCGTCCAGCTGCAGGGCCCAAGAAACGGAGTCTTATTGTTAAAGCTGAATAGACCCGAGTCAGGCAACTCATTACATCCTAAACTAGTGGCCGACATGCTGAGGGCCATTCGGTGGGCGGAGCAAAATAAGAAGGTCAAGGTCATTGTCTTGACTGGAAATGGTCAATTCTTCTGCACCGGGATGGAATTAATCAGCAATGACGAGATGTCATTCGCAATCGGGTCGGACTTCCACCAACTTAACGAGGCACTTATTTTGAGTGAGAAGATTCTGGTCGCCGCGGTGAATGGGCCTGCTGTGGGTTACGGCGTTAGCAGCCTTGCATTGCTTGATTTGGTCTATTCCATCCCGGACGCCTATTTCTTCACGCCATTCGTCAAGTGGGGGATGGCCCCAGAGGCTGCTTCGAGCCTGACGTTCGCAAGGATAATGGGCCACCAGAGAGCATCCTTGTTGTGTCTTACTGGGGAGCGGATCCTAGCTCCAGAGGCAATGCAATTAGGTCTTGTCAGCAAAGTCCTACCAGCCAAGGACTTTATGGGCCAAGTTATGGAGATCGCAGAAAATCTTGCCCAGTCACCAGCCGGTTCTCTCCAGGGAACAAAACGATTGATGAAACAATCAGTCATCAAGGAGTTACTGGAAGCAAACGATCGTGAATGCCGTCTTATCCATGAGGAAAGGATACCAAGCGGGGACCCTCAAAAGGGAAAAAAGCAATTCGAACTCGCACAACACCAGAAACGCAAGTTTAAACAGCTTGCCAAGGGTCTGCTGTAACATTGCTCAGTATAGACTGTCGTCCTACAACACTTAGTTCGCTCCCGCATCGGATGCTTTTTCTTACAGTGATCAAACAATTTATTTGATATCGTAGCTGAGTTTCAACTTGGGTTCAAAACATGATCTTCCAACTGTAGATCACTAATAAAGAACTTGGTATGAAGCATATGGTGTCCGATGTTTCGGCGCCTCAATCACGGGAGCATGTTCACTGCTGGCGCCCTTCCACTGCCATACTGTAGTATGCCAGGAAGGTCAGCGCCGTTCGGTACCTGGGAAATGATTAGCCTGCCGACAATATTGACGGATCACTTCTCTTTTGGTAGTTAGGGAGGCCGGCCGCACGTGTGGTGCCTTCAGCAGTCTATTCTACCTACCGACGGGGATTTCTCAGAAGCTGTCTGGGTGAATAACAGTTTTCTGCATGCTGTTTCATGGCAGTTGCCATCGGAGAACGTATTGTAATGGAACAGAGTCCGGTAGGCATCATGTACAGGTACGTGAGCACAGCTGGGCCGCAAAACGTCCTTTCGTCGACTGTACGACACGACAACGTAACTACGCCGTGGACAAACATTTACCTAAGCTCGATTGACTGCGTCTGTATTTACACCGCGCTTTTCTCATCACTCTTTTGCTTTCCTTCGAGCTTTTGGTGAATTGGACATGGCCTAGTTGCATTGAGCCGAGTCTTGCTTTAGCCCTTCACACATATAGTTACGTAGAGTATATTTTTGAACTTCGTGCATAGAATAATACTCACAAAAGTTCTGGCGATTCCGTCTGCAAAGCCTATCTTTTAAAGATTATTGTACCCAATGTTACCCATCATATATAGGATCCGTTTTGTTAGGGACCGTTGGCCGAGGTTCCTTATCGAGGTCCCCTATCTAGGTATATATATGTGATAGATTGAATACCCCGCAATAGTGTTGTCTTGAAGAGTGAGGTTAAAAGGCGTATACGGCATCTAGTTTCTCCCCTTTCCAGACTTGTGTGAGTCCTATGCAACTGCCCCTCTACTGCCTCCACTACTCTCTAGTGACCCGGTTGACAGGTGGGTCTCTCCCGTACCATAAGTCATAACATGGGCATTCCAAGTGACTCGATCATCTCTCATCTTCGAATCAGTTTCGTAAATTTGTCTCACTGACTGTCAAAGACTAATTGTGCATTCAAAATGAGGGCAAGGTATTGTTCGCAAAGAGATCGGCTGCATAGTCCTCCTTGATTGCCCATTCTATCTCAATCTACACTCTTAACTCTTTGAACCACAACGACAGTTGCTGCACCACCGCCGTTACAAATCGCCGCGACGCCGTACTCCCCTATCTTAAGCTGATGCAACAGAGTGGTGAGAATCCTGGATCCCGAGCTGCCGAGAGCGTGGCCCAAAGAGATGGCTCCCCCTAGCGGATTCACGTTTGCGTTTTCAAGACCGAGGATCTAGAAACGGATTAGCAAATATGGACCATATGACAAGTTCTTGAAGCATACCTTTTCGTTGGCCTTGATGACCGCTGCAAATGCCTCATTGAACTCCCACACTGCGACATCCTCCTTCCTTATTCCTGCACGCTCTAAAGCGATCGGCACGGCCTTAGCTGGGGCAATGGGAAAATCAATAGGATCAACCGCAGCATCTGCTGTGGAAAGAATCTTTGATAAAACTCGGCTATGGCAACCGTACTCTTGTGCAATAGCCTTGTTGACCAAAACCAACGCGCTCGCGCCGTCGTTGAGAGGTGAAGAGTTCGCTGCTGTCACAGTCCCAGCATTTTCCTCGGTAAATGCCGGCTTCAAGTTGGCCACCTTATCCACCTTAAGCCTGTCAAACCCTTCATCCTCGCAGACTACAACCTCCCCATTTCTTCCTTTCACAGTGATTGGAACAACTTCATCCTTGAATTTCCCTTCAGCCCATGCCTTCTGCGCTCGTAGAAAGCTATGGATGGCATAGTCATCCTGTGCCTCTCGAGAGAGATCGAGCTTCTTCGCCGTGTTCTCCGCACAGTTTCCCATGTGGATTTGGTTGTACACGTCCCAAAGACCGTCCTTGATTAGGCCATCCTCTAAGTTAATATTTCTGGGTGGATGGAAGCGTGGTGTTCTGGGAAGGTAGTATGGAACAGAGGACATGCTTTCCATTCCCCCAGCAACCTGGGCCTTGGATAATCCTAGCTGGATATTTTGGGCTGCCATCACGACCGCTTTAAGGCCAGATGCACAAACTTTGTTGATGGTGACGGCGTCGGCCGTTACCGGGAGTCCAGCAAGTATTGCAGCTTGACGTGCGGGTGACTGGCCAACAGATGCTTGCAGGACGTTGCCCATGTAGACATCGGTGATCTTCGTCAAAGGCAACTTGGATTTTATGAGTGCTTCTCTGATTGCATATGCTCCTAGTTGGGGAGCTGGCACATTGGCGAATGCACCGCCGAATCGAGTAGTCGGCGTCCTAGCGGCACTCAGGATATATACATCCATGGCCTCTTTTCCCTCCCGGGTAGTTGTGGTTAGATGATTCCCGACTTGGGTGAGACGTTCAGCGGCAACCGAGGAGATGTTAATGGGCCCGGAAGTCTTGGAAGGCATGGCGTAAGACATAGTTCCCTTTATTTGCGCTGGGTCAGGTGCGTGAGATGATGCTTGAAACAAGTGGTGATATAACTGAGCTAGGTGTTCAGGATTTATCAGCCCAGGAGAATAGAGACCTATCTAATAGTTAGAGGCGAAAGATAAAACAATCAGAAAGCGTGACCGGGTCACTGCAGAACCGAGGGTACGGACCGAAGCTTCAGTTCCGAGGAAGCCGACACTTCGCCGGTTAAGTCCATGTATGTCGTATCAGTATCGAACCGAAGGAGAACGACCCTAAACTCTAAAATAGAAGTTTTTCATCTTGCGCGGGACGACTTGCGGAACGTAACCTATCGAGTAATAGGATACCCGTACGCCACAGTAATGGGTGAACCAGATGGGATAATTGATTGAAGAACTGTCTAGGAGACCGCTGTTGAGAGCATCCTATAGTCTCAGGGGCTAGCAATTATTGGCGCGTTATGAGACGGGTGTTCCAAATTGACGGCGTTTACCATACAAAACGTATGAGGAATTTGGGGACCGCTGAATCAGCCTGTCTCTAAGTACCGCCCCTCAGACGGGCACAATATCACTCAAAAAGAATTGCTCATTCCACTGCGTAGTCAAAAATTATACGCTCGCGTTTCACGTCCAGCAACTTACTAGGTGACTCATTTAAAGGGTCGCTAGAATTGAGCCAGGCCATCCGCCGGTGGACTCATGACCAGAGAGCCGAACGAGGGGATCCGGAGGTTGCATCCTCGAGGAAGATAGTAGCTCCCTAAAGCCTCAGGTTGGAGCCAGTCATTGAATGAAGGAAATTTGCTCTGTAGGTGTATTAGACTGCAGGCTTCTATTGTGTTTCCGGAAACTGGTGTCACCACTTACACTCTTTGATTTTTTTAGTAACCATAACTCTAAATTGAGCTAAGCCATTTTGAGCTGCCTTTCGGAGTATTATTATTCCTTGTATGTATCGTAAATATACCAACGTATCATAAGCAGATCTTGTATATTTTACCGGTGCTTCTTCGGCGTGTGGGCCTGTTTGCCAAAGAGATAATTAAGCCGACAACAGACTCTTGGTTCAGAAAGGCCGGTCCGGGCCGACGTTAAGATTCCGGGCGGATGCAGTCTCATTGGCAAGACCATGGAACGTAGGTTAGTTTGCAGGCAGCTTCACTTATTTGGGACTTATATATGTTACAGAATAGCGCCCTGGATTGACTCCCGGTGCTGTTCAATATTGTTGGAAGCAAAGATGCACTGTAAAGATTTTCTCTTCCTGTTGGCTATGTTTGGTCGATCAGATTACCATATCCCTGTTGTTCAGCCGCGCTAACACATCGAAGTGCGGAGTATCGATTGTGAGAAGATGAGATAGAGGAAGCATAATATGTTGGCATGGGGATTCCTGCTGGCGGCCCTAAGGGCCCCGGAATGGGGTTCTTCCGGCCGCCAAGCGGGCTCACAATGATCTGTGTTGTTAGGCTAGAGATAGCTTAGATAGTCATCATCAATTCAAGGATTCATGATCAAGAAGTCGCATTTAGCCTGTTGAGATAATATTAACTGGGTTTTTTCCACTCTCTCAATCTTCAACTTTACTTCAATATTATTATCTTTAAAGCCCTGGCAAATGATTAGAGATGCCGCTTCGAAAGCTGCTACATAAATTGTGTGGAGACCAGAAAAAGAGCAAGGCCAACAGCCCACCGCCACCGCCATCTCGCCCATTCACTATCCAGACTACCCAGTCAATTGAGTCCTTTAAACCGCAGGACTTGTGGCAGATTGCCTATGATCAGCTAGATGAGGAGAAGCAGAGAATTTTATTAACGGTGAAAGTTACTGCGAACCCCATTGATAAGGAAAACCGAACCCGAACAGAAGACTTGATTGGTGAGGTCATCCATTTGACCAAAGAGCAATACGAAAAATACCAACAGAACGCCAATCAAAGGACTCGGACATGCTTCAGGAATATTCTCAATGCAGTGCTATCTTTCAAGGATATTATTGGCACAGCTGCGACCCTTGATCCTACCCAGCATGCAGCTAGTGCTTGGGCAATTGTGTCACTTGGGTTGACAGTATGTTATATTTTCCAGTAGATTATAAAAGCAGCTGACTCACTGAGGGATTGGAAATGCAGATGACAAAAAATCATCGTGACCAACAAGATGCCCTGTTTAAATCATCGGATTACCTGGCCGATGTTCTTACACAGTGCGCCTTTATTGAAAAGAATTTCTATCGTAACACCAGGTCCGGTAACCAGCAAGATATAGAAAATTCATTGATCCGGCTCTATCAAGCAATCCTTCACTATACAGCGCTGGTACAGAAGGCCCGAAGTGCTAGCAAGGGAAAGAAATTGTTGGACTCTGTCTCTCCTATCACTGGGAACCCGTTCACAGAACTCAAAGTCTTGGTTAATGAGGAAAGAGAAAGTCTGCGCAGGTGTATTGAATTCAATGAATATCTCCACCGCGGAGAGGATGCAGAGGATATCCTGTCTTCAATCGATAAACTTACCGAATCTATGAAGGAGCTTATTGAACAGTCTAGCCTTGCAAATCTCCGCGTCGCGGAGGGAGCATTTTATAACTCCTATGCCAATCAACATGAGGACTTTTGCCTCCAGAACACAAGGACTGAGCTTCTTCAGCAAATCTCGAAGTGGGCTGGGTCAAATGGTAAATTTATATTCTGGTTAAATGGAATGGCGGGAACCGGCAAATCTACGATTGCCCGGACAGTTGCTGAATCTTTCCAAAATCAAGGACTGCTTGGTGCCTCATTTTTTTTCAAGCGGGGTGAAGCTGACCGTGGTAACGCGAAATACCTAATATCAACTGTTACAAGACAGCTGGTAACCAGATACCATCGACTAGCCACTGAGGTCTTGAATGCTATCAAAAACGATCCTAATATTGCGTCTAAATCTCTAAGTGAACAGTGTGAGAAGCTTCTTCATCAACCCCTTATGAAGCTACATTTAGACCAGCCTACAACAATAGTGATTGTTGTTGACGCATTGGATGAATGTGATAAAGAAGACGATATACAAGTAATACTCCAACTCTTATTCAAGTTACAGGAAATCGAATCTGTATGTCTGCGAGTGTTTCTGACCAGCAGACCTGAACTTCCAATTCGCCTTGGCTTAGAGCAAGATAAAAACCATCAGGGCCTGGTTCTCCACGAGCTTCCTGCCTCCATGGTTGAACGAGACATTCGCGTGTTCCTAGAGCATAAGCTTTCAAAAATACAGCATGAGCGCTCACTATCCCCAGATTGGCCAGGAAATGACAATGTGGAAAGGCTAGTACACATGGCTGTTCCGTTATTCATTTTCGCAGCCACAGCCTGCCGGTTTATCAAAGAAGGGACACACCCAAAGAAACGGCTTCAGAAGCTTCTTGAATTTCAAGTAACGGCAACTGCAACCCAGCTGGACAAAATATATCTGCCAGTTTTGAATCAACTTATAAGCGATGATAAAGATGACTTAAAGGAGCTCATTGAAGAATTTCAAGACATTGTTGGGGTTATTGTTCTTCTTACTACCCCACTCTCTATTAGGTCTCTTTCCCAGCTTCTCCAGATATCGGCAGACGATATCAGCGAGCTATTAGATCGCTTGCATTCAGTACTGAGCGTACCCAGTGACAGAGAGGCTCCAGTGCGCATTCTGCATTTATCATTCCGTGACTATCTTCTAATCACGAAAAGCCCTTTTTATATTCATGAGCAAAAGACACATGGAAAAATAGCGTCATATTGTCTCCAGGTTATGGAAGCTCGGCTTAAACATAATATCTGTGGTCTAGCAAGTTACGGAATGCAACGCAAGGATATCAATCCTCAAGTTATTAATCAGCATCTTACAGCTGATCTTCAATACAGCTGCCGCTACTGGGTATATCATCTAAAGCAAAGCCAAGGTCATATCTCTGAGTCTGAAATTCTCTCTTTTCTAAAAAAGCATTTTCTTCACTGGTTGGAGGCACTGGCTCTAGTTGGAAGTATATCTGATACAGTGGAAATAATAGATACCCTGATGTTAGCTATATGGGTAAGCCTCTTTAAACTCTATAGCTAAATAGTGGCTGACAAGTGTTATAGACAGGCATTGGTACTGAGATTTCAGACTTTCTCTATGATGCAAAAAGGTTTGCTCTTCAAAATACTTATATAGCTGATATTGCTCCACTTCAACTCTACAGCTCTGGACTGGTATTCGCACCTACCCAAAGTATTGTGAAAAAGACTTTTTTTAGCGAAATAATAAGACAGATACAAAGTCTACCAGTTTTGGAGGATTCTTGGAGCCCAAGCTTACAGACGCTTGAGAGCCATTCAGAGTGGGTCAGATCAGTGGCCTTCTCGCCCGATGGGTGTACTCTGGCATCAGGCTCGGACGACAATACTATCAAGCTCTGGGATACAACAACTGGCATAGAGCGCCAGACCCTCAAGGGCCATTCAGATTGGGTCAGATCAGTGGCCTTCTCGCCTGATGGGCGCACTCTGGCGTCAGGCTCGTGTGACAATACTATCAAGCTCTGGGATACAACAACTGGCACAGAGCGCCAGACCCTTGAGGGCCATTCAGGTTCAGTGTATTCAGTGGCCATCTCACCCGATGGGTGTACTCTGGCGTCAGGCTTGGGTGACAATACTATCAAGCTCTGGGATATAACAACTGGCACAGAGTACCAGACTCTCGAGGGCCATTCAGGTTCAGTGTATTCAGTGGCCTTCTCACC